ACCTAGCTTAAATATCTGGTCAGCTTAACCGCGTCACGGTTTGAATCCAGCTTGGTTAGGAGGTATTCTGCCATTTCCTAGTGTCTATTTAGGAGAAGGGAAGTCAAAATTTTTCCGGGGATGTAGGCTGATTGCTCGGTAATTGTTGCAGTACTCTTATCATCTTTCTTAGAAATTGGAAATTGCTTTCCTCCAGTCTTCTAATGTTACTTCCTAGTGTTACTTCTTTTTGCCATACCAGAAAATATATTTGTAGAGGGTGAATTATGAACAATGATGGACAATATTTAAAAAGTTCGGTCCGAAGACCATCTCCTGGAGTTTTATTGGCCTTAAGCTTATGGATTACAAAGATCATTTCCTCTTCTGTTCGCGGTTCATAGTTGCGAACGTTTGGCTCGATGGGCGAATCAGTTATATTCGGAACAACATATGGCGGATCGTAGTTAAATTTAGCCTCAAAAAATTCTTTTCATCTTATGAGGCAATCCTTGATAGTCTGGACACCATTATTGTCTTATCACCCATTTCACTAACTGTTCTCCGAGTAATAGTTCGTTGCTTTATGAAGAAGAATGGTGTCCTATTATCGCCTAATCGAGCCGCTATCTCCATTCTCAAGGCCATATCATTCCGATAGCTCGAAATACTTAAGATTCACAAGTTGCCTATTTTGTTGCCAAATTATTTAACATCTTTTCATCAGCATCTACTCGAAAAAATCCATTATTTCACAAGTATTAGCTATTTTTTTATGTATGTATATTTTATGATTGTTCAGTATCAGTTTATAATGTAAAAATTATATCAGTCGCATATCTAGATTTGACTTTAACGCAGGTATATACAATCATATGCAATTTTATCCGCTCGTCGGATTGTAAAATATATCAAGAGTAGTCAAAGACTGAAAGCGTCATAATATCACTCTCATTGGCCATGTTTAGCAACCATATAGCATGATCGAGCGAACTGTAGCTAAATGGACGGGGATCTCCGTCTTTATGGTGATTTTGCGACTGTTCCATTAAGGTTTCGCCAACCGGAAAAACATAATTCTAGCCCTCGTTATTTGGATTACGATTTTATCCTTTGCCTGGATTCAGAGTATTTAAAGCCAAGCACTTCCTCGACCGGCAATGAAATGATAAAAGTAGGTATTTTATCAGTGCCTTGTATATAAGACTAAAACTCGTTCATTATATTTATTTTATTTGACCCTGTGTCCAATTCTCGCTGCAGTTGTCGTCACGTTATTAATTGCATTTCAGCAAAAAGGACTACATCATCAGGTCTATATCCTATACAAGGTCTGTGATGCTATGCTGTGGACCGATCTCCACATCTTTTTAGTGCCCGACAAGCGATGCTCAAGGAAAAGGACCCATTCTTGATCAATACCAGTTTTTATATCGAAAAAGTCAGTCAATTCTTCATGAACCCCACAGACCTGTACCAAGTTGATAAAATTTATGTTCTGCAATTATTTTAAAACCTTTTTCATTTTTCAAGCAGAACAATTTATTAAAGAAAAGATAAACAGAAATTAATAATAAAATATTTCCAATCACTATTTAGAAAATTCTATAAAAAGTAAAAAGAAATAAATAAATATAAAATAATAAATACTTTATGAACAAAGAAGAATAACAATAAAGAAATAGAAAAAAATGGTTTCTTTTTTATCATTTTTATAATTTTTTTTCGGATTTTTTCAAATTCCAGCTTAAAACAATTAAAAGAAAAGCATTAAACTTTGTAAAACTGCCATATTGTTTATTTTCGCTATTATGTCGATTTATATTCGTACCGTCGCTATTTTGTCGCTCCATTTGAGCGAAATTCTTTTGATGATGCTTTGATAATTTATTTAATAATAAACTTTACTGCACCATATAAATGCACTAAATGGAATTTATTAACCTCTAACATACTTTTTTTTTAATGTATAGAGGATGTATTTTTCACTTTTAATCTACAGGAGAATACCATCGCATATAACGAGGGTAACAATTGTGGTAACAAATCACTTATGTGCCACTTATACGTACTTTTGTCAAGAATCTATAAGAGCAAATCAAATCCAAAATAAGCGCATTTCACTAATTTCCCTTTCTGGCTTTATAAGGTTTTATATCGAAATATTTTCTTGAACGTATATAGAAAATAAATTTATTCAAACTATTAAATAGAAATTCGTCTTAATCTGACGAGTTTAGTGTTCCTTTTATCCGCATGAAATCTTTTCAAATAATTTAATCTAGAAGGCTTTATGCATGTTCACTGGTGAATAGTTTTTGGCGAACTTTTGGCAAATTGGAAAACTATGGGGAATAATAATGCAAAATCCTGTCCATTAAGAGAAAAACAAGTACTGGCCAATCATCCAGATCTCATGATAAAGGACCAGAAATCAAAAATGAACACGAGTGACAAATACAGATACCAAGTCACAAGGATGTCGGGGAGAAGGAACATAAGAAGTTAGAGGTTAGCAACCCAAACGACCCAAATGACAGAAACCTCAAGTTCTCAAGTTAGGGCTGAAAGAGGAACAAGATAAGGTGTAGAAAGCAAATGCCAAAGTAATTCCAGTGATAATTGGAGCATTTAGCATTTCATGATGATCTCCATACTACTAGAAAAGCAGTCGAATTCCAGGAAAAATCTCAAAGATCTCTATCCAGAAGAGAGCACTATTAGGAACAGCTATGACACTGCGGAGAACTCTCAATCACCCAGGCTCTTGGGTAGCTTGAAATATGTCAACTCTCTTGCATCTTTGTAAACTGAAATTTTTAATCAAAAATCTCTCGTAAACCTACAAACTTATACACATTTCGAAATAATCGACGAATAATGATAAAAAAAACGGATAGAAATAAAAATAAAATAAAAATTGATAATTCTTAGTTCAATGATTTTCATCAAACAAACATTTGCGCTCATCGTTGTTTTTCAAAAATGCTGTAAAATTCTTTCAGTTATTTTATTTTTCGTGCATTGAAAAGTTGAAATATTGAAGATGGTGTTTTGATAATTCTTTTGATAAATTTATCATTTATATAATAAATTTTCAATTTAATTCAATTCTTTTTTCTTTTAATGAATGAGAAATTTTTTCGCTTTTACTTTAGCAAATTATTTTTTTCAGATTGCAATGAAGTTTCGCTAACTATTAAAAATATTTTTTGCTAGGAGGAATCATTTTGGTGATAAAAACCGACGCTCAGGTTCTATTCCTCGGAGAAGTTAATAGATTATTTTAGTGATAAAGACCGACGCTCAGGTTCTATTCCTCGGAGAAGTTAATAGATTATTCAAAAATCCCGCTGATGCTGGCGACTCACCTACATTTCATCTCACTTTCCATCACCAATAGGCTCCCCGGCAAATTTGCCTAACACGACAAACCAGCGGAGCGAGTTCAACCAGTAATGGTGAGGGTGTTTTTCAGTCACCGTCCTTCAGGATTTATTCTTATAGTTATCTATTTCCACTTTATAGTTGTTTAGTTATTTTTTCTCGAGAAGAGAAATAAAGGCGAGTCGCCAGCATCACTCGGATTTCACTTTGGCATCGTTCAATTTCGTCAAAAGAGTAAGGACTGAGCCTTTAAACTTAATCGAAGGAAACAGTTGTTATTCTAAGTTTTAAATGTAAATAATTTTTGCATCCCAACAAGTACCATTAAAACTTCAGACAAGAATTTATGTGATAATATGATATGATAAAAATAGGGCTTTAAAATACCAATCAATATTACCAAATATATTTCCCAACTGTTCGATGAAAAAGAGGAAAATCTATCTCTAATCGGCCTTTTAAGCTCACTCTAAATCTACAAATGCGATAAATCTACAAATTAAAATTCATGCAAATGGAATGGTTAAGTGGGTGTCGAAGCACCGATGCATGGGTTCCTCTATCATCAGAAAAGCTTTCAAAAACGCAAGTGGTACTAGCGACCCACCTGTTTAATGCAAAACTTCTGATAAATGACCAACGATTCTTGGTAGTTTCAGGTTTAAAAAGAGCGAAGAGTAAGTAAGTTTTCAAACGACAATAATGATATACAGGAATTACTAATGATCGATAACTATAACTATCAGATTTAAGTTAAGCGAATAAAGTTGGAGCTATAAAGGAGATATGACAGGTTGCGAAGAAGGGAGATACAGCAAAGTACCACAGCTTATTATGAGAGATCCAAGCGGATATTGTAGACTGATGCGAAAAAGAATGCTGAATGGAGTGGATGAATGGGATGTTAAAAAAAAAATAAGGCAGTTCCTCGGGAATATTTAGAGAACATTTGAAAAAGAAGGACTCCCCCTAGGAGACGACGACGACACAGCACCAACCGTTCATAAGCAAAGACAACCATAGGAAATTATTGCATGGATAAGGAAGTTTGAGGCCGCGTCTGCGCAGCCTGCAACCATGATTTCTAACTGTCAGGCGAACTCGTCTTTAGCGCTCCTATGCAAAATAGGCCAGTCGCGTACAGTTGGTGTTCTAAGTACGAATAAAGAATAAAAGCAATGGTGGGGGGCGGGTGGAAGATCGCCAACTTTGGTACCACTAATGTGGATAGGTGGAAATTTTGGAGGAAAAATTTGGAGGAAAAGAGAAATAATTTTTAGAATAAAAAAATCATTTTAAGCACATTTTAAAAATTTGTTTATCTTCGAATTTCTTTTACAATTTCTCTTAATTTTCTTCTTTTTTTCATTAAAATATATTTTAAAAATTTGATAAATTTTAGCGAATCAACGTGTAAAACTAAAAAACGAATCAATTAATTTTAATTTTTTTTGTTTCTTTTTATTTTTATTTATTGGACGAATAAATTTCATTGATTTCATACTTTATTTGCTCTTTTATGGTTGCTTATTTTTTAATAGAAAATCGATAAATGCGAATTTGTTGATTCGGCTGACCTTTTACAAAATTTTGATTCTTTGTTTTATAAATTGAGAGGTCAAAGGGCAAAGGTCATGCGGTCGGATTATGATAAAGAAGTTCATGCGGGGTTAATGGGTTTGTCGGCTCAGCGTTTAGCTTGCAAATCTAACAAATTTTTTTCTTATCACTGAAATTATTATTCTTATCAGCGAATTTTCAGGATGGGATTTTGTTTTTTGAATTAATTTGTTTGTTGAACTCTGTTTATTTATTTTTCTTCTTTAAAGCAATTCGATTTGTTCTTTTCATTGATTTTTTATAAAAAAAAAGTCAATATAGTTATAAGTGTGATTAAAACTAATCTCCTGTGTGATTTGATAGGTGCTGCTGATTATAATGATAAGAATGTTTGGTATGAGGTAATTATAACGGCACGTCATACCAAGAATGAGAATAAGGTGAAGAGGAAAAGGATTTATAATGATTAGAATTTGTTGAATTTGTTGTTTCATAGATACTGGAACCAACGTTCCAGTTATTTGTATTTTTTTGGTGAGCGGTGGTTATAATGATAAAAAAAGATCGATAATTATAGTTATAATTATGCTTCATTTAATAACCAGTAAATGAGTAGCCTTCACCATTTCTAGATAGGCCCCACTGGCTATTAGTGCTAAGTTTTGCTAGCAAGGCGATTGAAATAATGCGGATCATCTGCACCATTTGAATTTTTAAATAATAGGTTTTACTTGTCAGGAGCATAGGATGGCTTAGTGGGTTGTTGTTCAATTTGGAGCGCCGATACTAAAGTTCTATTTCCAGCAGGAATGAATCTGTCCAAAAATCTGGGTGATGCTGAAATTGGATAATGGAAGTCTGTGATAAATGATAAAATGATAAAGGAGTCCATGTTTAAAGATAAGGTGAATCTGAAGAAAGATAAGATTTGCTGTTGATTCATCTGTATTTCTATCGCCAAGGGATTCTCCGGCGTATTTGTCCAATACGACAAGCCAGCGGAACGAGTTTAATCAGTAATGATGAAAAAATCTTAAAAAAACTTGTCAAGGGCAACTTTTTCTTTTCAGCGGTAATTTGAATCACTATTCACTTCGTATTTCGTTGATAAACGGTGATTATGATAATAAAGATTTGCTTTTTATTTTATAACTGGCGATCAATAATGATAAAAGTGATTTATACTTTATTTGGAAATCTGTGGTTTTGGTGATAAAAAATTGTGCATTATTTGATGGTGATTATGACGATAAAAATTTGCGCCTTTTAAACGGCTGATTGTAATGATAAAAATTTGCTTTTTTTTTGATGAGCGATGATAACAATCTTACTAATATAACGATAATATAATGATTTATTTGTAAGGTGATGGGTGTAATAGGATATCTGTCTGGTGTAAAACATAGTTTGTTTCCTCGTGTAACGAAACGATCATTGCTAGCTCATTATCTACCATTAGCTGGTGCGATTGGACACACTTGTTATATGGCACATATACTTACACCACATTTGCTGTCGAGGTATTTGCTTTTTTTTCAAAATAATGAATTTACTTTCTTGAATTTTTATCATAATTCATAACACTTTAAATACTTTAAACAGAATTTGATAATTTGATAACAAGTAAGTTGGAGGTTTTTTTTCCACTTTTTTTGCTATATAAATTTTATAAAAGAATAATCTTTATTCTTTTTTTTATGGACCATAAAAATGAAAAAAAATGATGAATTATGCGACTGCAAATCAAAAAACAAATCGTTGAGAATTTGAGAATTTACACCGTGTATCAACACAAAGTTCTTTCTGAATACAGAGATTAATTGATAAGAATTGATAATAAATGATCTTTTAATATTGATATTGTATCAGCGACTCTACTTAATGATAATTAAAGATATTTTGCGAGAATTTTCGACTCTTGACGATTATAAGATGTTGAATTAATCTTTTTCTAATAAACGGATGTGGATGTAGTTATATGAGACATTGATGAGTGCGATGTACCTTAGGCAGGAATGGTCAAAGAGAGACTTTCCTGATATCTGCCATTCTCATTAACAGTTTCGTTAGCATTTAATAGAATCACAGCCTCACCACAGCCAAATAGGAGTCTATGAGACCGATTTCGCAGTGATTCCAGAATGGTTTCGTCAGTCAAAAGGAAAGGCTAATTTTCGCTCTTTCTGCTTCCCCTAACAAATATTACAATTCCTCGTAATTCAAGCACAGTAATTGTCAAAAAAGAAGGATAATATTAATATTAAAGGTTCTATAATATATACTGATTTTTATGCTAGCATTATAATTATAGGTAAAATAAGGTACCACTGTTATTTCAAAAAGTTAAAAGATTTGCGTCAATCCCTCAGCACAAACATTAAAAATGCATTAATAAATCCAACTAGTTCTCTAAAACTTTACAGTCCTATTAAAAGGAGAGGCTAAGTCGATGAAGCAAGTGGTAGTTCAGCGATACTTGGAATTATGTTCAATTTTTAGCCTGATAATTATTTGCCGATATTTGGGACTCCTTCGCTTGAATATTTGGCCTGGTAATTATTTGCCGATATTTGGGACTCCTTCGCTTGAATATTTGGCTTGATAATTATTTGCCGATATTTGGGACTCTTTCGCCTGAATATTTGGCTTGATAATTATTTGCCGATATTTGGGACTCCTTCGCCTGAATATTTGGTCGGCACAACTTTGCTATAACATAAAACCAGCATCATTCGAGTTTGTTCAATTAAGGAAGAGTAAATATTCCTAAAAATATGTTATCAACTGCAAAGTTCCTCGATAATTACTGCATTGTGTCCTAAATATTTTTCTTAATTTTGGTTGCCATGTTTTATTAATCTTCGTGTTTGCTTCTTGTATGTCAGTTAATATAAGTTTTGCAGGAGTTTTATCAGGGATGCTGAGCAGCATTTGAAGAAGCATTCAATATGGAGACCATGACCGGTGGTTTTGTTAGTCTTAACATTTTGAATTATAGCGAAAATTTCACACCCAATGGATGATTCGCAGTTGTTGTGCTCGAAATTCGTTCTAATTGTGTCCAAGATGTTGGATAGTCCACATATATCTCGGATCGTTTCATTTACTATATCTAATTCCGATTCTTTGCGAAGTAGGTGAAGCCGATAATTCTTCTCATCGACTCGAGCTACTGGCTTCGAGACTACATTGTTTCAATATTTTTGTTCTTCCTAACATACGAGTTGCTGATAACTAGGCACGCTGTGACAGTTTTGTTCAGCGTTTGGAAGATGCATTTAATCAACTTTTGAAGGTAAAATTTCAATTAGGACCAATACTTAGCCATTTCAGAGGTAATACTTCTAATATTTTAGCTTAAAATTTTCCAATTCTCCTGAAATTTCGAAAACTGAAGTTTTAACTTTAGTTAAACGATTTATGCATTGTCAATTTAATTCGGGTCTTGATTACAGCCATAACATTGTCATTGTCCATCCGACCCATGGAGGTTCCTCGATAAGCAAGGCTATCTGGTCTATCAGCCAAAATATCTGAGATGGCATTCCTTATATGCATAATTTAGTCTTTCGATTAAGTTTTTTTGGAGGAGAGATGCCTTCATATTCAATTTAGAGTCCACCTTTATCCAGATTACCCATGTAGAAGAATAATATACATAACTTGCCTTTAAAATGGCAGCCAACAGGTCGTTAATAGTATGGTCAGTATGGAAACCAGAAATTATTACTACTTTAGGTTCAGAATTATGAAGACTTTCGATGAACAAGCGATATTCTTAAGAAATTTGTATAAATGTTGATCAGTTATCATCTTCTCGATCCAAAAGCTGGTATTCTATATAGCTACAGGCAGGACTTTCACACATAAGCCGGCTGACATTTTTCCACTTTAACAAACCAGTTCGCTTTATTCAAAAATAACCTTTTAACATCATCGTTTCGAGTTAGAATTAAAAAAGCTAGGTTCCTATATCTATCATATAAATAATCTGTTTTGTGATACCATGCACCGAGATTTTTAATCTTTTCGCCACAGATTCACTTGGATAGGTACAAATAGGTCCTCACCGGCCAAATCGATTTGATTTTGATGATGAGCTTACTCCTCTCGAAATAAGCAAAGAGCTAATTTCGCAACATAAAATTTGTAATCGTAGAAAGGGAAATTTAGAAAAATTGTGAAATTTAGGTTTTTATAGAAATAAAAAATTTGGTTAATTTTATGGACTTGCTAGAAGGTAGCGAAAATTTTGCATATTTTGCTTTAGTTTAAACATGAAAAAAAACCAATGAATCTTTTTAAGACTAAAAATTGAAACGTCGATCGATTTACCTATAATGGAAAACTACTTGATATAACCTATAATTAATGTGGTACTTTGATTTGATTTTCTCTTTAAAACAATGATAAATAGAAACGAAATGAAAATTCGTCCTTCGAAATGGCGCTAAATCAATAAGAAAAGGTCGACACCCGCACAACGCGTCACATGTTCTCGTTAGCGCTATTAGTTCGCTTTTATCAGCCTTTGTTTGTGGTCGGAGTCGCGTTTACGTATTTTTCTCTTTATCGTCGACGTGTACAATTTAAGTATATCATTATACATCTATCCTTTAATTCCTTTTCCTCGCCTCATTTCATAATATAAAAAGAAGAAAAGGAAAATTGGAAGATTGGCAAGATTGGAAACGATCATTTAATTGCGTTTTTTATTTTATTTATTCAATTATATAATAAATGCTTGAAATATGAAGCGAAGAATTTCACCATCATTGAACGATAAGCGAACACGTAAAATGTTATCACTAAAAATGAAATTAGACGTGATTCGACGCTGTGAACGTGGCGAACGACCTGTTGATATTGCGCGTTCATTGAACTTAACTGAGTCGACATTGCGCACAATACGTTTAAATGCGGAAAAAATTAAGGCAAGTTGTAAAAATTTAACACCAGAAAGTGTTACACAATTGAGTCGAAGTCGTTCAACTTTAATGGAACGCATGGAACATCAATTAATTGAATGGATTGAAGCATGTAATCAGCGTGATGTGCCTTTGAATATCATAGCTGTCCAAGAAAAGGCCAAGTGTCTCTACGAAAAATTAAAACTGGAACATGGTGAGACAAGTGCAAAGCCGTTTATCGCTAGTCATGGTTGGTTTGATCGCTTCAAAAATCGTAATAACCTTGTTAATTTGAAACTTTATGATGATAGTGCAAGAATTACAAGAATTGCGTTGAACTCAAATCCTACAGCCAAAAATCTTATTGATTTAAAGCCTAGCGGCGATACGATAAAAATTACAACAGTTGCGACAAATTCAAATAGTATAGCCAACACAAATTCGCCATCATTTCAGAATAATGATAATGGTAAGTCGGTTGAAAGAAATAATGATATACCGAAATTCCTAAAATTCATGACTGATATGGTTGAAGACAGAGATGAATCAGATAGCGATATGTTATCAACGAGAATGACTGTAATTAATGAACCAGTAGTTGCTGCTGAACCACGCGGAATAATCGATGATAATCAAATTGGTGGAGGTGGTGAAATAAGAATAGATGATGGAGAAAATTCGTATGTAAGTGCTACGGAAAATATTTTATCAATTGAACGAATTTCGGCAGCATTTGGTTTAATCGAGAAGGCGTTAGAAATTTTCGATCGGGATGATCCAGATAAAGCGCGAAGTTCGAGAGTTGCACGTTCGATTGATGCTAGTCTTTCCGACTATAAGCAGATATATGATGAAAAATTGGCTGCATTAACCAGGTTATCAGTGGATAGATTCATACGAGACGCTAAGCCGACATCTTCAACAGCTTTAATGCATAATAAATCTGATTCATCCGAAATTTCTGCGATTCAGAAAATCAATGAAAAACAATTTAGTTCTTCTAAATTATCGAACCCACTGTCAATTAATGGACATAAAGGACACACTAATATAAATAATAGATCAGGACATGATTTTATTCAACAGAATAGTTCTCTAGTTCATGAATCGATTGATTCGAGTTTTCAAAAACTCAGTAAACGATTATTAACATCAACACAACCTCTACTGAAATATTGAAATAATAGGCTGCGAATATATGTAAATTGTTTAATCTTTAAAAAGTTTTTTGGTTTTCTATATTTTTTTAAAGATTTCTATAATTGTGGAAGAATCTTATTTTTAATTTCAGAATTTCAGAATCTAGCTTGGTCGAGAAGATCATTATTTTCATCTTTTACTAATCACTGCATACCTAGATAAATTTCAGATAATTTCAGATATTTTCCTTTATCTGGATTAGCTGTGGAAAATTGTCTTCTTTCAACGGCAACGGTTGGTGTTGGATTTTTTCTCTATTTTCGTCCACATATCTTCAAGTTAAATCCATGGCGTCGTGTTGAACACAGTGCTTTTCTCTCAATTATGTTTGTTTATGGATCATTGATTTCAGCTATTTTCATTAAAAATTTCATTCCAACCAAGTAAGAGTTTTTTATCAGTGAAATCTTTTTAATGTATGTGCCAATATTGTTTTTGTAATCTTGCAGTAGTTTTTGGAAGTAACTAAGTAAATTTCTTTAAATTTTGTCAAAAATTTAAAGAAAATATGATTTAGAAAATTGATTCTTTTCTATCATCGGCTTTCTTTATGTTTAATTCATCTAGTAGAAAAATAACGACGAATCAACGGTTTGAACTTAAATATAAAACCTCAAAAAAAGCAAACTACTTCAGATACTGCTGAATTATTTAATGAAAGTTGGGAATATTATTATTATTAAAATTATATAAATATTGTTCTTTATTGTTGTATTTTTTCCAAAAATTATAAATTTTAGCTGGAATGGCGCTCATAAAACTATAATTGCATCATTACTTAGTTATTTACTTCTTTCTCGAGGATTTGCTTATACCAAATTACTTGATTCGCGATTTAAATCAAAATCAAAATCTGAACGAAAACGAAATGCTGATAAAGTTCAAGTATAAATTTCGATCAACGCTGATAATTTGTTCATCGTAAAGCAGCCACAATATTTACAACAGTTTTCTAATTTTTCTTTTCCTGAGGTGAAAAAGTTTTTTGTAGTTATGATTTGAGATTTCAGACTCTTTTAAAATAACTATTACAAAATTTACTGAAATTCTCTAAAAATGGTTCAAAATTGAAGCTGTCCATCTTAATAATGGCTCTTTGACTAAATCTACTATTTATTTCACCGAAAATATGAAAACTCTAATTGAATTTTATGAGATAACGTTTATTAGCGGCATTCTATCTTTAAAAAAAGTCCTATTTTATTATTTGCATGAATTGTTGTGGAAATTTTCTGTTTTCCTGTTTTTCCACTGTTGCATATTCGCTTTATTAAATTTTAATTTTAATTCTTTTTCTATGTTAAATTTCGTATTTCATAAAATTTTTTGAAATAATCTATATTGAAAAATGTTAAATTAAGCAGAACAGTGGCTTTTTGGCTTCCATTTTTTTGATTTTTTGGGCTCTTAGAACAACTTAGAAAGACTAATTTGGCAAAAATTAAAGGACCGTGGTTTTCGCTAATCTAAAATTTATCTTTTTCTATTCATTTCACTATTTTTCCTTTTTTGTTAATATTTCAATATTTTTAAATTCATTATGGAGGTTTTTTTTGTGGATCTCTTACAGTTTACTATTTTATTGTATATATTTCATTCTAATCCTCCTAATCCAAATCTCATGGAGGAAACGATTTGCATTTAATTATGTTCTCTTCTCCATTTAGCATTTTTATGAATAAATGCTGATTATTTCTCTTTCTATATTATTATACTTAAGGGTACTTTTATGGAAAATTGAAAAAAAATTAAATGAATTTATAGCATGGAAAAGGAAATTCACGTTAGAAATGATTAAGCATTCAAGCTAAAGATAAGAAAATTTAAAATAGAATATTCGAAAATACTGAAAATATTGAACATTTCATTTCGTAGATTTCGGTATTTCCTAAACTTTTTTCTTATAAATGAATGAGACTTTATAAATGAATCTGCTAATTTGAATGTCCAAAAGTCGCAAAGAATCGCAATAATAAAACTAACACATATCATAGGAGAATTTTCATGTTTTCGAATTACGGCATTAGAACCTAGATTATTTGCAGTATAATCAATATAAAAACATCATAAAATGAAGTTAAATGCTCAGATTCTAATTCGAATATATGAAGTAATGAGACGAAGTGAACGGGATAAACTACAAAAAGTTTCCCTCAGATGACAAAATGAGCATAACAAAAGAAAAAATCATATGGACATTTTTACATTTTTTCGCGCCTATAATATTAATTACATGTAAGAAAAGAATGAAGGCTAGCACATCTTTTCTATTATAGACATAAAAATAGCCAATGAATGTGTCGAATATCAAAAGCAAATCTGGCAGAAAGCTTTTGAAAAATTGGTAAATAAAAACTGTGTGAGAGAATAAAACAGGGATTTTCGTACATTCACTCTTAACCCCACAGTTCTTCAGTGCGTCCAAATTTATAAACCAGTGATGCAAGAAAAATGAGGAAATTGTGGAAAAACAATGCAACACCTGGCCATGTTGGGTGGTCGCCCACTACTAATACATAATCAGCGAACATAATCCATATTGCAGCCACCAGTGACGCAAATGAAAGAACAAAGCCAAACATTAACCAAAGACGAGATCCTGAATTATAAGCACAATATTGTTAAAACTTACGAAGAATTGCCAAATAATTTTGAAAAAAAAACCTAGAAGAAATGAGTAAAGAAATTTGGTTTAAACCTACTGGATAACCATAGTGAAATAGTAAAGCATAAATTCTATCAAAAATTTCATTTCACAAAAACATAAATTACCTTTCGTACCCAAAACTCCTTCATTTATAGATTCTCCTCGAACTTGACTATTTGAGACAGCATTAACCCTGCAAAACCATCAACGTAAAATATATTTCGGTCATATCAAGCGCGTCAAGTCCTTATTTAATATAATACGGCGACAAGTTATTTCAAGAAATAAAAAAAAAAAAACAACGTTAATGATAAGCGAAAATTGCTAATATTAAAATAACCTACATAAACATTGCTACTGTACTGCATATAGTCACAATAATATATATATTATTCCACTGACCAATTGGCGTATATATTGCTGCTGTATCAACCATTAACCACCAACCGATAAAAAACTGGAAAAAAACAGCTCCGAACACAAATATAAACAAAATAGTTTTGCTAAAATTTGTAATTCATTTAAGACTTATTACAATTATTTTCTATTAAAAATTTATTAATAAAAGAAATAAAACGCAAAGGTAGAATCATATTATAAAAAACGAAACACCATTGCCGCCGATACACAAGCAGCGACCAAATTTCGTTTTCCTTCCCATTCGACACCACAGTTGCAACTGATGCCATCTAAACAACCTGACATTCTACAATCTTTAAAATTTCTCTCCACGATCTTAAATATTAAGAAAAATAACTTTCAAAATGATTATCAATATTTTAACAAAGAATATTATGAAGGCAAAGTTTAAGGAAGCCAAAAAAACCCATTTTTATAAAATTTATCGTGAAAACAAAATAAGGACAATTGGGAAATCGAAAATCTTCAACCGGTCCTTTCAGTTTAACTAAATCATCGTAGACTTAGCTATCCATCTATAATTTTCCATTAAATCCCTACATTTCGAAAAAAATTTCATTAAGTCAAACGCAAAATGCCCAGAAAAAAAGGAAAAAGCGAAAATAAACAGCAAAATATAAGAAAATATAAGTGATACTAACGAATAATTTAAAAAAAAAAGAAAGCCCCAATTCATAAACTTTTATTCTCTGGACTGCGAATGCAGCAGATAAATATATTTATATAAATAACGCAAAGTATCTTTAAAAAATATTAAAATTACAAAATTACGATGAAATAAATAATGCTCTATGTTCCAGAACAACAAAACGTAACTTATTAAATTCCTGAAAAAGTTTCCATTTTTCAAAATTCGGTTCATTTTTCTCCCAAAGAAATCGGTGGGAGGAATATTTCTACCAAAAAATAGATAAAAACTGAATTGAAAAAAAGCCATAATTTTTTCTCTTTAAAACAATTTTATAAAACCTTAAACACCGGCAAATTATAAAAATATATAAAAATAAACTATCAAATATCAAAGAGTTTCTAAAAATCGGTTTAGAAATCAAATTTTGTTAAAAAATATACGGCTAAAAGAAATTTTAGCGATATTTATTTCACAGTAGTTACCAGTATAGAAATTAATTAATTCTTAATCAACCATAAAAACAACAAATTAATGAAATGCTGAGATCTATGATAATTTCATATTAAAAATTATAAAAAATTCAGAATTTGTTATGAAAAGAACATGATCAAAAGAAATCTCAGCAGAATAAAGAATACCTACCATAAAATTAAAATTAACCATTGCAACTTCCAGTGCAACACTTGTTCTCCATTAGAAAATCACGTCTTCGATTATTTTCTATGGTTTTTGGAACTTTCAATTCAGCGAATTTATGCTGAGACCTCCATAATTCAGCATAAAGGCTTCCTGGCTTAGAAAGTAAATCAAAATGGGAGCCACACTCTACAATCTGAAAAAATGTAAAATTGAAGATAATGGCATATTAGCAGCGCAAATCTTGCTACCTTTGGAACTATTATCCTTTCAAATAAAAACTGGTGCATGTCAAGGCTGCTTTCACCCTCTTACATTATCAACTATAGATTATGAACAAAGATTACATTTGCTAACATTCAAGATGGAAGTCAAGCATAGCATCAAAAATATGATGATGCCGTTGCTACCAGTCATGAAAAATTACAAAGGAATCTAGACCACATATTGATAACTGCAGCGAACTTTGAGCTCCGGATCACCGTAAGTAAAACGAAATCCTTCGCCGTTGATGGAATGTTCAAATAAGTATTTGGATGTATTCATATAGCAAATGGCTCAGCGAAAGGCTCGTACGGACAGCCGTGCTTTCTTCCGTCTGGCGAAACTTTTATGAAATCGTCCTGAAACCATCATCGAAACGAAAACTAGTATCTATTTTGTTGCAAGAGATGGAATAGTTCAGAGAATTGTTGCTCTCGTTTCGGGACGACGACGCTGTGGTTTCATTTCTCGTGTGAATAAATCTACCTTTCAAAAATCGATTTATTTTAGGATTGTGATTCTATTCCTGGAGATTCTGCACTTCTATCATCAAATGGCTTCCTGTAAAAATTTGCCTGCTCCGACAAGCCAGCGAAGCAAGGTTAACCAGAAATGGTAAGAGCACACAGAGAAGAAAAAAATTCAGTTACATAATTAGTGGACTACGATATACACCGGACGAGAGAATGATATTATAAAAAAATTATAAATTATATAAATTAAATTAAAAAAATTATAAAATAGAAAAAATTAGTTTTGACCATTCTTTGTCCAAATGAAATCCTTCATACTTGCTTTCAAAGAACCTTATATTGCTCACTTATATCTTATATTACCTTATATTACTTAAGAATCTTATATCAATCACCCTCGCTCCAGTATCGACTGCATTTTTAATTTTATTTATAATTTCGCTAAAAAGTGATCTTCTAACAGCTCCCACCATTATTGGTTAGGCTGACTCCGCTGGCTACAAAGGACGTCTCCAAGCTATTCGGTCCAACACCATCGCCAACAGTAATAGAAGTCATTCCTTTTTCCATCGTCCATATATCTCTGGTCCACCTTATAGATTCAAAAATTCAAAATCTTTTTTTGATTATATCATTCTACGCCTTCATCGCTTTCGAATCCAACCATCATAGGGTTTGGCAAGTAACAAAATATGTCTCCTCTGGTGGGCGTCGAAGAAAAAGCACCAGAGGAGAAAAAGAAGGTGCGATTTTATCCGCACGGCGAAACCGTAAAATTTATCTGGTCAAGGACAGATAATTTAATATCCTCCACTTTCATTGCCCATATCTCGCAGCCACAATATATGGACTTTCGCCTTCATAATTGTGCGACGGTCCCATAAAGATTTCGTTGACCGAAAGCACTTTTAATTACTAATTCCGTCTTTTGACTGGCCACTTGGGATTAAGGCGGATCCAGGATATTTAAAGTGAGTTATAGAAAATGATGTTAGACTATATTTTTTTCACTCGTATAGTGCTATAGGTTAAGCCCTATATTGAAAAAAGCCCAACAAAAACATGGCTATGGTCAAGGGAGATTTGATCTTATAGGCGATCCAGCGATATGTTGGCATAGACAATGGAAAAATGAATGACCTTTTGCTACAGATATATTTCGATATGTCTCAGGTAGTCGAAACTTATGTTAATAAATAAAGATGAATAATCATTTCATAATTATTTTTAGCAAAAATTTCAATTTTTTTTCAACACAAATTACTAATACTTATTGATACTTTAAATATAAGATAAAAATTCAAAATACTTGTCCTTTTTCCAATACATATATGATATCAGCATCAACGATTGTGGCCAATCTATGTGCGATAAACAATGATGTCCTCTTTTCAGTAACACTGCGCATAGCAGACATAATATTTTCTTCAGTTAAAGCATCTAACGAAGAAGTTGCCTCATCATAAACTAAAAATATGCATTGCAAAGTTGGTCCAAAATTGGTTTTATAGAAAATGCAATAGATTATTTTTTATATTTAGCCATATATATTTAATAAAACCTATAATCGGTGAATCCTTTAACAAAGCTCGTGCTATTGCAACGCGTTGTTTCTCTCCACCACTAAGTTTTAAACCTCGTTCGCCTACAACTGTATTGTATTTTTCGTTAAAGCTTAATACTGACTGATGAAGGTTGGCCATTTTAGCAGCATTGTATACCTGAAAATAAATCATACCACTGAAATAACCAGTATAGTATAGTATATATATAATTCAGTATCTATAGTATATATATAATTCAGCCAGATAAATTTATCGATACATATATATATTTGTCGACCATTTCAATTTATAATTACCAAGTAAAAAATTTATGCCAAAAAAATTTCAGCCTCTAAACTTTCGATTTATCTCAAATGATATATTATTAAAAAAATATATAGCCAAAAGAAGAAAGGAAAGGAAATACGAAAATTGCAAAAATACTAATTAGTGGAGAAAATATTTGAAACACCCTACTTCTTGTTCAGTAGCATTCGGATTTCCATACTGCAAATTGTAGAAGATGGTGTCATGGAAAAGTACTGAATCCTAAATAATAACAATAATATATAAACATACAATTATATAGTAATTATACATACAGTTATCATAATTATACATGTAGTTATAAAAAAAAACAATATTTAACCAAAGATATTGGAAAAACGATCATGTTAAGTGGGAGATTGACCTAAAAAGCAAAAAAAGAAAAAATCAATTGCGTAAAGAAACATACCTGAGGAACGACAGCAATAGCTTTTCGTACACTTTCAAGTTGCACGTCAGTAATCTTTTGATTATTAATTAAAATATCTCCTTTTTCAGCATCAAACAAACGATAGAGAAGACGAACTATTGTGGATTTACCCGAACCACTACCACCAACAATAGCGACCTGCGAAAGATACAAAAAAATAAATGACAATTACAAACCAAAAAAATATACAAAAGTTTTAAAAATATTTATATTTACAAAAGCGTACCTTCTTTCTAGCTGGAACTTCAAATGATAATCCCCTAAGAATTTCTTTCCCTGGAACATAACTAAAGCTCACATCTTTAAAAACTATGGTTGAATCAGCGAAAGATATATTTAACGGCGGCGCACTTGGTTTTTCCTGGAATTCAAAAATTTAATATTTTTTAATGGAATTAAAATCTCCATATTTTCAAGGATTTAAATCAACCAACCTTGATACTACTCTTCAAATATAATAATGAAAACATCAACTGCATATCAATAAGTCCTTGACGAATTTCGCGATAAACTGAACCCAAAAAGTTGAGTGGTACCGATAGTTGAAAAAGTAATGTATTGGCCAATATCAAATCACCTACTGTCATTGCTCCTAAAAGAAACTATATGATGGAACAAAAGCGAAGTTTAGTGGAGTTCAAAATAAAAAAATTTAAGCAAAGCTGAACGAACTAATGAAATAAAATGTTACCGCTTTCGATATTAGCTGCAGCAAGGCACATAACGCTAATTAAACCAGCGCTAAAAATAGCGTTTTGAACGAAATTTAGTAAAGCGAGTGACGTTGTTGTTTTCAGCGCAGCCACTTCGTACTTTTTCAAAAAATGATCATAACGATTAGCTTCCAATAATTCGTTATTAAAATACTGAAAATCTAAGTAAAAATTTTTTATAATTTTTGATGAAGTCTTCAGTCAAAAAACCGTAACAAAATTTGAAAAAAAAGTATAATTTAGAAGAATTAAACATTAACACCTTGACGGTTTCATAATTTATTAGAGAATCAATCGCACGATTTCCTGCATCATTATCTGCTTGATTCATTTCGTGCCGAAATTTGGTCCTCCAACGAGTTATACCTAATGTCGCTATTGAATAGGTTGATAAGCAACCCAAAGTAGCAAGCGCAAAGTCCGCGCCACAATTAATGTACTAAAAAAAATTCTTTTAATGAAGTCCTTTTTAATGAATGAGAAAAAGCAATCCAGATTGGAATGAAATTAATTAATTTCAATCAGATTACGATCAAAACTCACGAAAATACCCGTAACCATGCAAACTTCAACCATCGTTGGTATAACATTAAAAACTAGGGCATTTAAAACAAAAGCCAGTCCACGTGTTCCGCGATCGATTGCCTTTGATAATGCACCAGTTTGCCGATTTAGATGGAACGACAAATCCAATGAATGTAAATGCAGAAATATATTACGAGCAATACTTCTTACACTATGTTGTGCAACGCGAGAAAAAACAGCATTACGCAATTCATTGAAAAAAGCGGATCCAGCTCGAGCAAAACCATCTAAATAAAAAACTACCAATAATATTCACAAAAAATAATAAAAAGACAAAAACTTGATCATAGAAAAAATGGCTAAATCTTATAGAAAATCTGGCAAGTTACTTGCAAATATGATTTACTTATAATTCAGAAACATAATAAGAAATAATTACATGCGAAAATTAATGATATTCCAATAGTCGCAGTAGACTGGACAGGTGATTCTACACCCAGTTTTAAGAAAGTTGGAGCTTTGTCGTTATAAAAATTAATCACATCTTTTAATAAAAAAGGCACAATAACGTTCAATATCTGAAAAAAAAAATCGAAAAATATAAGCTTATTAATATAAAAAATTAAATTTCGCAACTAGTTCATAATTTAAAACAAAAACTAACTTTGGCAGCAATCAGTAGTACCAGTGCTATGATTACTCGCCTTTTGATCAACCAATTTTCCTCAGGCCATATATACCTCAATATTCGACGAATCAATTGCCATCCCGTCATTTGTTTGTCATTAAAACCCTGCAAAGAAGTAATAGCTAATAAAAAACAAAAATGAAAAAATTATATAGCAAATAAAAACAAACTATTAATAAATAGGCCAGCAAAAATGGCAAAACTAATATTTTTTAAAAAGAAAAAATAGCACGAAAAACGGTACATATATGGTTCTTTAAAGGTACCTTTAAAGGTGCTAAAGTGTTTGCACCTGGATGAAAACATCCTCGAATGAAACACATCTTCAACGCTTTTTTTAATGAATGCGAACCAACATTTTTCTGTTTTATAGCGCATGATAATTTACGCTGAAAAACTTGAATTTAAGCCTTAATTTATTAATAAAATTTTTAAAATTTTAAAATTTTTAATAAATATTGATTATTGATTTAAAAAAATAACTTTTGTCAAAAATCTAAAAAATTCGAAAATACGCAATTTCTAAAAGAAAAAAAATCGATTATTTTTCTCTCCGTCTAAGATTAAATTATATTTGAATAAAATTATAAATTACAAATCACTGAAAATACAAATTTTAATATTTTCACTAAAACATTAAAGATTTAATCGAAATTAATGATAACAAACGAATTTTGCTTTAAAGCTTTACGATTCGTTATAAATAATAAAAATTATTTTAAAAAAAATGAAGGAAAAATTTTACAATAACAAATTTGCTTTGTCTCATAGAGGTATCCGATCGATAAAAATTGACCATTAATCGAACAAATGAATTCATTGTCAAAAACGAATAAATTTAAAAAATTAATACAAAATTCTGCAAAAAAAATATTAAGAAAATTATAAATAATGAATGAAAATTAAAAAGATTTAACATAAAGCATTTTTCGAAATAATAAATATAAAAATCTTATAAAATTTTTAAGAAATAGAAAAAATTCAAATCGTCAAAATATTAAACATTAAAAAATTAACATTAAAAAATATTAAAAATATAAAAAACATTAAATATTAAAAATAGAAATATTAAAGAACGAAAGAAAAACGTTGGAATAATTTCCATCCAACAATTACAAATTTATTACCACAAAATCGATTGCTCCTGTTATTTGACTTAAAATACAATATTTTTCTCAGATTGAATTAGCAGATTTGGGGAGGAGGGGGGGAGGGGGGAGAGCGAAAAAACAGATACAACCTAAGCCTTTAACGAAATGTCAAATCCCCTCCATCGATTTACATTCGCAGCAACCGATATATTTCACCAATCGGTCTGCAAATTGCTACAATTCAGCTTCAGCTTCCTTTTTGGATGTTTGAATTTCAATAATTCTGATAATTTTGCTAATTTTGTTCAAGGATTTGTAAGCTTTCTGGAAGTTAGCGTGTCAAGGTTTTCGGTTAAGCGGTGAATTTCTAAGTAAAACCAATTATTGAACAATGAATAATTATATTTTTTATTTTCTGTTTGGAGAAAAAAATTAAAAAATTTCGAAATTCTAAAAACGAAATTCGGCAACACATTTATTGTTCTTTTTAGGGAAAAATTAGTCGAAAACGTTTTGCGATTAACTGAAATTAATTTTTTGCAAAATCTCATCAATAGCGCTGTCGCATTCATCTCAATTTTAAGCGATTGTTGATTCGTTTAGGAACGCCGAAACCTATAATGCAAAAGGTCCGTTAAAATTGGTGGATTAAACGGAAATCTATGAAGTAAATTCGCGGAGCGATCTCGGAATCAGCCTACTGGTAAAAATTCTCCGGAAAAATTTTCGCTTCCCTTCTGCTAAATACGATTCATGTCAACATGAGATAGCAGAATGCATCCTAATCAAGCTGGATTCAGATCGGGATATGGTTGTAATGCGCTGACCAGATATTTTCGCTAAGAAGAGTGCTGGAACATCGCTTCAAACACCAGCAACCAACAGTCACTTGCTTTATCGATTTTGTAGCTGTCTTCGATCCGCTTGATAGAGCAGCGCTTTGGAAAATGATGGAATGTTACAGTTCCAGAGAAAATCATTCGGCTCATAAAGGCATTTTATCAGCATACCTTGGCGCAGGTATATGGTGAATATGGTGAACTGACAGACCCCTTCGAAATAAAAATAAGTGTCCGTTGGGGGTAGGTTAGGCTATGTCCTTTCCCTCACAAAACTATGGGATAGTGGAATACTGGATAATGGGCATTGCTTTCGGCACTCAAGAGGTGTCAAAATCAGTCCAGAGCATCGTATCACAGATCTTGAATATGCAGATGACGTAGTCTTTTTTCCTGACAGGTATGACAGTTATGCTAAATCATTAATTGTAACGAGAATTGGACTATAAATCAATGTAAATAAAACGAAAGTGTTTTCATCTTATATATAAGATGCTGATAAAATACCTATTTTCATCAGTTCATTATCGGTTGAGAAATAGTTTGAATTTAAATATCTTGGATCCACTATAATCCCAAATGCTCAGGCAATGGATGAAATAACCCGGACAACGACAGCATATATTTTCAAATATATTATATTTATAAATATATTTTCCGATTGAAACCTTTATGGGACCGTCGCGAAATCGCCATAAAGACAGAAATTCGCGTCCATATAGTTGCAGTTCGCTCGATCTTGTTATATGGATGCGAAACATGGCCAATGAGAGTGGAAGATATTAAGAAGCCATTAGCTTTTGACTACTTATGTCTAAGGTACGGATCTCTCGAGCATGTAAAATCACACGTGATTCATCCATCTCGTTCTGCGTCGTCTACCACATGAGTCGACCCGAATTTCGATACTTGTTAAACCCTGTAATGTTTGGCGTCAAAAGCGAGGAGGACCAATTAAGACCTGGACTGACAACCAGGAAAGATTTTGAACGTATAGACCAGCGATGTATGGACTTAAACGATGGAACAAGGAGTGGCTTCTGTTACTATTAGCGATGGTGTCGAACCGAGCAGCTTGGAGACCCTTGGAGTTTCACCCTTGTAGCCAGCGGAGTTAGCCTAACCAGTAATTGTGAGAACAGTTAGAAGAAGAATACCTTTACCGCATAATTTTACCTCATAATAAGATAAATTTTAGGCTTCGAATCGTTCAAAAATTTTGTACTGAAATATCCAAATTAATTAACAGTTGCAGAAGCGAATACTTTTAGAGGTTTTCATAACGTAATTTTTGGTGGTAATTTTAGCTTATCGATGGTAAAATCGAGTGATAAATCTTCGTATTTGAATAAATTTGCCAGCGATCTTGCTTGTGGTGGTTTGGCTGCAACCGTTTCTAAAACTGCTGTCGCACCGTTCGATCGAGCAAAATTGCTTTTACAGGTAATCTCATTTTATTTTATTGAGTTCTAGTCCATGCACGAATTTCTTTTATCATAGAATTTCGCAGATTTGTTCAGAAGTTCAATTAAAATCGGTGAATTAAACGGAAACAATTGAATTAAAGAGAGGCAATATTTTTTCTTTGATGAAATTTCAGGCACAAAGCGCATCTGCTATGATCTCTGCCGATAAACGATATAAAGGAATGTTTGATATTTTTATGCGAATACCAAACGAGCAAGGTTTTTTGTCGCTTTGGCGTGGAAATTTAACTAATATTATACGATACTTCCCGTCGCAAGCACTGAATTTCGCTTTTAAGGATACCTATAAAAAAGTATTCTTTTCAGGAATCGACAGACAAAAGGTTAATCTTATTTTATTCGTACTGCCAGTATACAATTTGATAAATAAAAAAGCCTTGCTCATCTTTTCATCTTTTTTTTTTGTAAATCCATTCAGATATTTCCATAAGAAAATCTCCAAAATTTTTGGGATTTGGTTTGAATGTTTTAATGTTTATAAAATATTTAATTTAAATTATATTTTAAATGTTTCTTCTTCAAATGTTTCTTTTAAATGTTTTAAAATGTTTTAAATTTAAATATTTAAATGTTTCTTCTTCTTCGCAATTATCTCATTTCTAGGACTTTTGGAAATTTTTTGGTGCAAATTTATTATCAGGTGGAGCAGCTGGTGCAACAACAATGTGTTTTGTTTATCCACTTGATTTCGCTCGTACAAGGCTAGCTGTTGATGTTGGTAAAAACACAGCAAGAGAATTTAAAGGCTTAACTGACTGTCTTGTGAAAATATTTCGAAGCGATGGTTTTGTTGGAATTTATCGTGGATTTTCGATTTCAATTTTCACAATTATCGCTTATCGTGGTGCATATTTCGGTCTTTTTGATACGACGAAAACATTGTTTGGTAATGAGAATGAATTGAATTTTTTAAGTGCTTGGCTTCTTGCTCAGGTATTTTTATTTCTGATCATTTCGAAATATCGTTTTGCTTTCGATTATTTTTAATCAGAAATTTTTGCGCCTCATTTTTCATTTTAAGGTCAAAAAATTTTACCATTGTTTTTTTGCTTACAAATTTTTTGGTTCTAAATTGTCCGATATAGACTTAAAATAAAAAATTAAATTTTGGATATATGGTGAAAATTACAGACTTATGGAATTATGAAAAAGTTTGTCTGATTAGCCAAAATTTTTTATTCTCATAGATTGTTACAACAGTTGCGGTGGTGATACCTTATCCTTTTGATACAATACGCCGTCGTTTACTCATGCAGTCAGGTCGTTCTGAAATTGTGTATAGTGGTTTGTGGAACAGTTTCTTCAAAAGTGTGCGAAATGAAGGTATATTAAGTCTATACAGGGGTTTCACCGCAAACATTTTCAGAGGAACAGGTGGAGCATTGGTACTTGCAATATATGATGAAATACAGAAGTATTTATAGGAAAAAATTTAGGTTGACTATATTTTATTCTATGCAAAAATAAATAGATATATAAAAAAATTTTATATTAGCCTTTTATCCTTTTGATAAATGCTATGATCATTCGATTATACTTTGATATCGTTAAATTCGAATGATTCTTATTTAAGATGAAGCCTGGTTTTTTTTAGTGTTTTTTTAATATGTTAAGTAAAAGTAAGTAATTAAATTAATGCTAACCATTTCTGCTTGCGCTGGCAGTTAGTCCTTTTAATCAATTTATTAATTATTACTCACTTGGTGAAAGGGTTGACATCACCACATGGATTTTTTAAAAGATGGATTTATTCGTTAGAAGCAAGAGATGAACCCTTGCCTCTCATCACAACAACTCTCCACTCGCTTTCCACTCGCTTTCCAAACGTCTATTTTTTATTAAATTTATTAAGAATTTTTTAAGATCACAATTATACTTTTCTGGATTAAAAGTCTGTTTTTATATTTTAAATAATATTTTATATATTTTATAATTATAAGAGACCCTTTACTGTGGGTGATATTTGTTTTATTTATAAATATTTCTCTAAAATTTTCCTTAAAATAAGTTCTCGCTTTAATTTACATATAAACTGTGGCACTTATGTTCCACGGTACTCAAAATCTTTCAAGGTCAAATGCTTTAGTTGTTATTTAATTTGAAACGCTAATCCAATCTCGAAAAACTTTCAAATGGATTAGCAAAAAAACAAACTTATTTTTAATTATTACATTACATTATAATTTTGTTACTTTGTTTTATATTATATTGTTATAATTTTGCATTTTTTTATGAATATTGTTTTATTTGTCGTTTATTGTTTATGTTGAATAAATTCAATATTCAAATTTAATGTTCTAAATTTATATTTACAGGTTTTTTGAAATTTTTTTGCAACTTTTTCTTAAATATTTTAAAGAAACTATCATTTTAAATGAGTGCATAATATTACAATTGTGTCTGAAAATAAAAATATAAAATAATAGACAAATTTCTGCTTCGCGATGAATTTAATTTACGCGAATAAAATTTTATAGAGTAGAGTAATTAATCTTAATTTTGGTTTGATTTGAGTGTTTTACGATGAAAAAAAAATTTTGAGATTTTTGAAAATGTAACAATTCCAATAATTAATTTTATTCGTAAATTCTGTAATATATCAATAAATTATAGAAATTTATGTAAACTGCAACGATTATTAGTTTAACTATTGGAAATTATTTTTTATTAATTATTTTAAAAATAATAAATATCGCCATTAAATTATTTTTGACAATTCGTAGATTTTCCTCTATTTGTAATCTTGAAAATTCATTGTATGATGAAAGAAAACGCATCATTGGCGTACTTATCAAGCAAACTTTGCTACTGATAAAACAAATTTCACCTACTGATAAAGAGAGAGAGTGAAGTACGAGTGGATCGCCAACGCCACTTACTAACGAAGGGCAAAATAGCAAGGGCAAAAGGGCAAAATGCTGCTCGGATTCCCAGAACGGTGAAATATTGAATATTTTAAAAAATAGTTTTGTTACGTTCTAATACGTTGTAAAAAATTCTCATTTTATCTTAAAACTTAGTTTTTGACAGATTAAATTGGTTTTCATTATATTATTAATTTTATATATACTATTATTAATTAAATTAATTTTTATTCTTTACATTCTAATTTCTTTCATTATTTTAAAACTATTTTTAATAATTTTAATATTTAGAATATTTTTAATATTTATAATATTTTTAATAATTACTTATTTATTTTTAATAATTAAAAATATAATAAAAAAATATTTATTTTATCCACTTTGAAGTTTATCCACATGCTCAGTTCCAATACCTACTAAAGCCTTCTACTAAAAATGAGATCCACTAGAAACCTATTATTAAAAATGAGATCCACTAAAGAACCAATCAAAGACGAATGTCGGGATTGTCACTCACACTGGTACGAACTATGCCAAAATGATGAAATATAACTCATATGAGTTGAATACTTCAAATGACATCACTAATTTGCGGCTTCAGCCGGCAAGGACCTGAGATCGTAGACAGAAAATTGCTGAGGAATTTTTATTACTTTTAATAATTTTATAAATGAATAAATAATTTATGCAATGAGTTTGCAAACAAGTTAAGGCGATCTGATGAAAACGTCTTAATTTTTGTTTATTTTTTTTTTTAAAATTTAAATTCTTTAATAATTTAATTTTTAAAATAATAATCGTCATTTGTGGTTTTTTGGTTGACTTCGCTAATTAATAAAACGCGCGGTGAATGGTGGGCAAAAGAGTCACCTGGGAAGTTCCATCGGTGAATTCCATTTGGTGATAGTTTCACCGCCGGAAATTAACTCCATGAATCGATATTATCCAAAAAATCAATTGAACCATTAGAAAATACCATTGGACCATTGTGCGCCTAGAATAGGTGTTTGTTTGTATTACTTTATCTATTATAACGTAGGAACTGGTAAGTTAGTTATGCGAGTGAGCTGTTGCAGTCATGGATTTTCCTTTTTCCTTGCCTTGCTGCTCATTCTTCTTTCTCACTTGAACAGATGCTTAAGAAGCTTCTTTGAACGCTTAAGAATAGTTGTAAAAATTGCATCTTATGCGATATCGGATGGATAAACTAATCGCATTCGAATCAATTAGTGTTGCGTAGATTTTTCTCAAAAATTTTATTTAATAAATAAAATAAATAATAAATAAATAAAATAATAAATTAATTAATTAATAAATAATAAATAAATAAAATAAAATTATTTAAATTTTAAAGAAAGAAAGAATAATTTTGAAAAAAAGTGAAATGGCGACACAAGAAAAAGTTGACATTGAAAAAGTGGACGATGCGATGGACGTTGATGAGGTAAGTGATCGTTTTTTTTTCTTCCTTAATTTTTAACTGCTTTATCAATAATTTTTTTATAGGTTCCATTAGATGATGAAATTCTTCGTATGTCAGCCGATGATTTAAAAAGTCGAACGCATTTATTAGAAAATGAAATTCGTATTATGCGTTCGGAAGTGCAAAGAATTAATCATAGTGTTCAGACACTTAAAGAACGAATCAAAGAGAATAACGAACGTATTAAGGTTGATTTAGTTTTAGTTTCTATCATTTATCATTTATCATTCATCTTTTTTTTTAGGCAAAAAATTTTGATCGAAAATTTTTCAAAATTATAAAAATTTTATAGATAAATTAAATATTTAACTATTGTTGCTAAAAATTGTTCCCAAAAAAATAGAGGGCGCAAATATTTTTTGCATAAACATAAATATTTATCATTTTTTTGTTGATTCAGATAAAAAATTAGCTAACGCATGCTATAGTTTATTTAGTATTTAAATCATTTTTTCAGGTTAATAAAACTCTTCCTTATTTGGTTTCAAATGTTGTGGAACTTCTTGAACTAGAAGAATTGCAAGAGGAAGAAGGAGCTAATATAGATCTTGATGCACATAAAACGAAATGTGCTGTTATCAAAACCTCCACTCGTGCGACTTATTTTTTACCTGTCGTAGGACTTGTTGATCCTGCAGAGTTAAAGCCTGGTGATCTGGTTGGTGTTAATAAGGTAATTTTTAATCAATAATTTTATATTAAATTGGCCTATATACAAAATGATCTCAAAATAATAAATTTCTTATTTGTTGTTTTTTCTTGATAATTGGTCCATTTTCGAAATTACTTATTTTTGTTATTTTTATTGCCTGAGAAAATTGTTATTCCATTGATAAATTTTTATTCTTTTCAGTTAGAAAGTAGTTTTAACTGAATTAAATAAGTATTTAACTATTCTTTCTTTTTCAGGATTCATATTTGGTTTTAGAAAAATTACCAGCCGAATATGATTCGCGCGTCAAAGCAATGGAATTGGAAGAAAGACCAAACGAACAGTATAGTGATATTGGAGGATGTGATAAGCAAATTCAAGAATTAATAGAGGCAGTCGTTCTTCCAATGACACATAAAGATCGCTTTGTCAACCTTGGGATTCATCCACCAAAAGGTGTTTTGCTTTATGGAGCACCTGGTGAGTAATTATTCTGTTTGAACTGGCTATCTGATAAGTAGTTTTTATTTGTGATACATCGACTGTGTATTTAGTGTTTTTATAGTGCTTTTTTTCAAATAGAACTGTGGTTTTCAATTGTTTATTCATTATTAAATTTATGTATTCATTTATTTTACTTTCAGTACCTAAAATTCATATAAATTAGGTACTGGTAAAACAATGATGGCGCGTGCAGTAGCATCGCAGACTAAATCAACGTTCTTGAAACTAGCTGGGCCTCAGTTAGTCCAAATGTTTATCGGCGATGGAGCTAAGCTTGTTCGAGATGCTTTTGCATTAGCGAGAGAAAAGGCACCTGCGATCATTTTCATTGATGAACTTGATGCAATAGGTAATATTTAATATTTGTTTCTTTATTTGTTTTCATTTTCTTATTCTTTTTTATTTGGTTTGTTTTATTATTTGGTTTCATTTATTATGAAATATTTTCTCAAACTATGGAAATTACCGAAAATAATTTGAATTAATAATGAGTTAGGTACGAAGCGATTTGATTCGGAAAAAGCAGGTGATCGAGAAGTACAACGAACCATGTTAGAATTGCTTAATCAGTTAGATGGTTTTCAACCAAATGATGATATCAAGGTTTTTACTCAAATTTGCGATATTTTGCGATATTTGCTGATTAGATTAAAATACTTTCGTTTTCTAATGTTAAGGAAAGGTGGAAAGATAAAAAAATAATTTAATATAAAACAGTATATAATTTAATTTATAAAACAATATAATAATTTAATTTTAGGTAATAGCGGCGACAAATCGCGTTGATGTTCTCGATCCTGCTCTTTTGAGAAGTGGACGACTTGATCGAAAAATTGAGCTTCCATCGCCAAATGAGGATGCACGTTCTAGAATTTTGCAAATTCATTCAAGAAAAATGAACGTGCAGTGCGTAATTATATTAATTATTTATTATTTGTTGATTTCGATTTGCCACCTATTTATCTCTTACTATTAAGTTATATATATTTTATTTATATATGCATATAATATGTATATTTATTTAAAGTTTTACACCAATTACTACCTTCTCTCTTATTAATCTTCGTTTTTTTTAGTAAAGATGTAAATTTCGAAGAATTGGCTCGATGTACTGACGATTTTAATGGTGCACAGTGCAAAGCTGTCTGTGTTGAAGCGGTATAATTTCTAATTTGCTTTGAATCATTCATATAATGAGCTGTTTTTCTTTAAAGAGAAGTCTTGTAGTTGTTGAAGCGAACAGTATTTAAACGGTTTGTATGTATGGCATTAAGCGTATAAATTTTTTTTATTGTAGGGGATGATTGCTTTGCGACGTGATGCCGTTGAAATAATGCATGAAGATTTTATGGATGCCGTTTTAGAAGTGCAAGCAAAGAAAAAAGCTTCTTTATATTATTATGCTTAATTTATGGTGATATTATGGTGTACTATCTCAATTTTATTTGGTTTCGATGTGGGTTATTCTAGATTGTCACAAAAATTGCTGTTTACTTTGTGAACGATTTTTTTCCTTTGAAGGAAATCTATTTTTGATAAATTTAGATTTGATTAAAGATTTTTCTAAAGTTATATTTAAGAGCGAAAGTTCTATTGTACTGTCACATAAAAAATTCAGCACTGGTAGAATTGCGATACTAAATGTGAAATGTTTCATATTTTTTTGATTTGCTGGATTTCATCAATAAACTTTTCAAATCGTACAGTCAAATTTTACACCTCAAACTGTTCCAATCTGATTGACTTCTGTATTTGATCGATGGTTATGGGAATTAGCGAAAAATTTTAGGATGTATGACCATTTTTATGGCTTCATTGCGTTTCCATCTGAGCATAGCTTTTTGAACGAATTGCGGCATTCCTCTAGAAATTTTAGATTTGCTAGACATAATGCAAGACATAGATAGAAGTTAGTTCGTTGTAGGATGGTTGAAAATGAAAAAGTATAAAGAGAAAAAAGAAAGGAAAAAAAAGGCCAGTCCAATGGACCGGGAAGTTCCATTCCTCATTAATTTTTAGTTGATTTAAATGTGTTTTAGATAACCGAAACGGAGCGATTTACTGCAAATCAAACTTAACGAATGACCTCGTCGGATATAGGGTATGATTTCGGAGAGCATAGGGTTAGTTCTTTTCTTTCTTTTTGTGTTTTAAGTTATTTTAAATCTTTTTCGAGATTTCTTAAAATTTATCAATTTATCAAAACAATTTAGTATTGAATACTTCATGTTTTAGCTTCAGCAGCTTTTTAGCTACAAATAATCGAATGGGAACATCTCGACCTTTGCAAATTTTATCCATTAGCTCTAGCTTCATCATGGTCGATTCGATGTTTGCTTTATCCCATGTCAGTTATCAAAGCTAGGCTTCAACTTCAGAGACAAAATACTGTATATCGCGGTACTTTTCATGCTTTTAAGCATATTTTGAGAAACGAAGGTTTTACCGCTTTGTATAGGGTTGGTTCAGTTTTTATAATATTTTTCACCTTTAGTGGATATCATTACTTAAAAAATTTTTGATATCTAATTGTTTCATCAATTTTCTCGGATTAATCATCATTAATATTCAGAAACAATGATGGAAATGGCTTTGATGTAAAGCATCGTTTTAGGGATTCTGGATGACATTGCCTCAGCTTAGTGCTTCTTTTTTATATTCAAGTATATACGAAAGAATTCGAGATTTATTTCAAATTAATACGGGAATTTCTTCGCCTCCTATCGTTTCAGCTTTTGCGGGTATTTTTTCTTGTTATCATAAATAAAAGTTTTCATATGTCATAGAATATAATCATATTTAAAATCGTAAAATTAGCCATTTTTTTGAATAGTTTATCTTAATTCTTTTCCTTAAACCTTTTAAATATAGCGATAGGAAAGTTGTAGGTGCCGCTGCATCAACTTCAGCACAACTGATTTTCGTACCCACTGATATAATCGCTCAGCATATGATGGTTCATAATAATCCAGAAAATTTCGTTGGTATGATTTATCTTAAAAATATATTCAACCACAAAAAGAAACCTTTTCCTTCAATTATTTTCCGTTGAATTTCGTTTTTTAGCCATTACTTTCGTATTATCTCATGTAAACAAAGATATAAAATCTTATTTTCACATTTATATTTTTATATTTTTATTATATTTTTTATTCTTTTCATTTATTATATTTTCTTATTTAAATTAACAGCAAGGAAACATATTTTGTTTTTTGTAAAATATTACTATTCTAAGGCCATGGCGATAAAAATTGTAAATTATTCAATCCATTTTCTGAATAAAACATTATTTTCAGTTTGTTTTCAATTTTCTATTCACCTTGAATCTGTCTTTTCGATTATATGACCCTCATTCGATGGATTAAGTTAACTGGGTAGAGGATAAAGGAGGAAAAGGAATAGAACATTGTTGAAAAAAATAATATGAAAGAAAGACAGTTGGATATGTGGAGAGAAAATAAAAAGAAAAAAAAGCGGAAATAAAAAATCATGCTTTGATTTTTCGAATTTAGAAAATTATTTCAATTATTGGAATATTGCATTAGGTAAAATTTTAGGTAATATTCGTAATGCTGCAGTACTTAATTATTTGAAAACGGGCTGTTCAGAAGAAAGATTAACACTTGGTTTAAGAGTCGCTAAGGCGATTTATAATGTGGATGGAATCAAAGGATTTTATAGGTGAAAATATTGTTTTTTTTTTATCAATTCGTTCTTATCTCTTTTCTTGCTGAAAAAAATGTAGAATCCTTAAAAAGCATAATCCCAATTCAAAATTATTTTTTGTTTTTTTCATTCTCATTTATCAGTAATTTAACAGTAATATTTTAAAACTAATCATTATTTCAATTAACTTTTAATAAATTTTATTATTTTATTATTTAGAGGTTTCTTGTCATCATTGATGTTGTATATTCCTTCATCAGTTGTATTCTGGATGGCATATTATAATTTTCTCGATTTCTTTAAAATAGTACGAAAATGTGTTATACATCCGGCCAAGAAAAAATTCTCAAAAAATGATAAACATGTCACCGGTTTGCACCTTTTATCTTTTATCTTTTTTCGCTTTTGACTTAAAGATTTGTTTTCCATGAAAGTGTGAAAACTTTATTTTAAGATTACGATGAAAGGAAAGATTATCGGAATATATTTGTTGATCAAGCATTGGCTGGATCGTTCAGCGGTATTTGCGCTGCAATTTTTACGAATTTTCTTGAAGTTTTTCGAATTCGCCTTCAGGTTTTTTTACAGTTTTAATAGATTATAGCAAAAATTGTGACAGATTTTTTTAAAAACCATCTTTTCAGGTTCAAAGAACATCATATATGGAGACTTTTCGAAAACTTCGAAAGCAGGAAGGTTTAAAAGTATTCACAAAAGGCCTTACACCGCGTATTATTAATAATGGCGTGTATTCATGTTTGGTTATGCTTGGATATGAAACGGTCAAAAAGCTTTGTGTTTTGCCGGAATTCAGAGACAAAATTGTTTGGTAGCAGAGTCGATTTTCAAATATTCTGCCATGTAAAATCTGTCATCTAAAAAACATGCTTCTTTTATCGTATTATTTCTCAGAGCAATTCTATAGGGTTAGGAAATAGCGATTATGAAAATGGAATAAAAGAAAAAATAAGAACAGAACAAGGAAATAACTATGAGGCATATACTTAACAATAATGATTCTCAGTATCTGATAAATGGAAAATAATAGCTTTATTTATTAAGCCAAAAATTATATTGAAGGTTCTGGTTTGATTTGTAATTTCGAAATTATCTATCGATCAACTGCCGCTGATTATTTTTTGTTTTTGTTTATTCACATTTATCAGTTAACAGTTATCACTTAGCATATTTATAATGCTTAGGTATGATTATCTAAATATTTAATTTGGATTTGATTTGATTCATCATCTTATTTTTATATTTTTATATTTGAAGTATACCCTTATCAAATTTGTCTTCAAATCCTTGTATATCCTTCGACATTCCATCAAAACTCATTATATTTAATAAACACTCTTCGAACCTTGTTCCACTATTTTCATCCCCAGCCGAATTCCCTTCTTTGTAAGTTTTATAATTTAACTCGATCAGTAGGAAAATTATTTAGATTAACAGCTATCTATTTCTTTTTTCTTACTAATTTCTTTTTTCGATCTAAATTTAAAATCTAAATTCAACAAAATTTTATTCCAAGCGATATATTGGTGAATTAGGTAATTTGTAAATTTATTAATTTTATTGTATCTATGCTTCTAAACGATGGAATTTAATAATTAATTTGAATGATATCTAATTTCTGGATTGGAATTATTTATCTTTAGTGTTTTTGCACTAAAAGCTGATTCCGAGACTTCGAGACTCGATAAATAAATTTCTTCTTCTTCAAGTATCTCGCGCCACCGCTAGTTTATTAGTTCGGTTTCATTCGCGAGTAGAGTTAGGTGTTTTTCCAAGTCTCGCGATGCCATTCCTAAAGCCACTTCTTTCACATTCTAATTTCGTGTATTCCTGTGTCGCCTATGCATTCAGAATCTAACCATATCGGTCCAGGTCTTGATTGTCCCTCCTCGCTTTTGAGGTCATCCATCTCGGAATTTAGTAAGTGGCGAGATATACGCTAATTCCTGTCGTGGTCGACGAAGGACATAGAGCCAAACCGTACAACGATGTTCTTAATATAGATGGTATTTCAGGGAGGATGTATGCAATTGTGTGGCATTCTTGCTGGTACATAGGATACGCTTTGGCTAAGGATTAACAAAAGTACATAGCTTCATATTTTTTATATAAAAAAAATAAAACTCGAAAAATCCATCTGAAAAATAAAAAAATGGTTGAAAAATAAGCAGCGACATATGCTTGCATTAATAACAACGAACAAAATGATGCCAGATGATAAGAAATTAGTGATATCGATATAAAATATAAAAGAAATGTGACCAAAAGTTGACAACACAAAGAGGAATAATAGAAATAAAGAAGAATCAAAGAATAACGTAGATCGACCTGAATGTGCTATTGAAACGTGATGTCAAGCCCGAGATGTCCGGAACACCAGGAAGGTACCAAATCGCACGCTGAAAGGTCAATATTTAAAAATTCCTGTGATTTATATTATAATAATTATAAAAATATATAATAATTATTGTTACATTAATAATGATAATAATAATTATTATTATTGTTATATTAATAATAATAAATATCGTGGGTAATATTTTATTCTTTTTAAAAAACAGCCGGGGATGATGTTCGGCAACTTAGACCATTAATTAATGCGCGATTGAAAAAATCATGAGTTCTTCGTTTTGCAGAAAGATTTTAGCAGTTGGAATAATACTAACACTAACTTAAGACGATGTACGAAGTCCTATTTCTGGAGTCCTTTAATTATCCAATTAATTTATTTGATTTACGGTATCCAAAGAAATAATAGATTGGATTATAGTTAAGAAGAGGTCGAACGAACTTTTCTATATTTTTATGAGAAAATTTTCAGGGTAATCTTTAAATGGAAAAATGAAATTTACTATTCTTGATGGTTTTTCAATGAAAGCCAAGGCTGAAATCAAGATTTTCATCCAGATCAATGGCACGCAAAAAAAGATTATTAATTGGAAAGGACCCTTTCCAATTTTTATTATAATACGGTTCCATTACTCAAATTTTATGGTGATTTACAGTGAGCAGAAAGAGAGCAATCGGTTGTGGGCTTATTTGTTTTGAAATATATATTATCGATTATTATTATTATTATTATTATTATTATTATTATTATTATTATTATTATTATTATTAATTATTATTATTATTATTAATCATTATTATTATTATTAATTATTATTATTATTAATTATTATTATTATTATTAATTATTATTATTATTTATTATTACTATTATTAATTATTATTATTAATAAATATCATTATTATTTATTATTTATATTTCATACAATATTAATATTTCATACAATATTTATTTCATACAATATTTTTAAATTAATAATAATAATAATAATTAATGATAATAATAATAATAATTAATAATAATAATTAATAATAATAATAATAATAATAAAAATATTTCATACAATATTTTTGAAAACTTCAACACTCTCACGATAAGTTAATAAGTTTTTTAATTTAATAAGTTTTTTAATTTGATTTTTTTTCCCTTTAATTTATTTATTTGTTTTCCATCTAACAACTTTCCTATTTTTTCGACAGGAGTAATATCAACTGCTAACAAAATCTCTATCGAAGTGGTGATAATTGGGACAGACTGAAATGCACCCTAGGTCATAATGAACTCGACAATTGGCAAATATGGCATTAGAGTTTGGTGTGTCAATGGAGGACGTCTTCCTATCGAAATGTTGAATCTTTATGGGACTTTATGTTGTGGTTCGAGCTTAAGATTTGCATAAATCTCGCAAGAAACAACCCATTCTAAAATCTTTCAAGTCATGCTAAAAGGCTTGGCTTAGGCTTAGGTATTTAAGCTAAGAAAGATAATGGAATATCGCTTTGAAGAGCAGCAACCCACCATTATTTACTTTATCGATTTTGCAGCTGCCTTTGATTCCATTGGTAGAACAGCGCTCTAGATAGTGATGGAATGTGACGGTGTCAGAGAAGATCATTCTCATAAAACCAATCAGTATACTCTGGCACTTGAAACTGATAGGCCACACGCACACCGCAGAAGTTGACACATATTTCGTTATCTACTAAACCCTGTGATGGGTTGCATCAAAAGCAATGGGAGGCAGTTAAGACCTGGACTGGTACATTCACGAAAGAAATTTTGAACATACAGAAGGACCAGCTATATATGGAGTTAGACGGTGCAAAAAAGCTTCTATTGCCATCAGCGATAGCATCAAACAACATGAAAATGTTTACCATTATAGCCAGCGGAGCCAACCTAACCAGTCGCGATGATGATAACTGTTGGAAGAAGAATTTGTCCATACTATCTCTAACGAATTCATAACGAATTATTTAATAATAACTTCAAATATTTCCATAATTAAATAAAGTGGCCATAATTCTGATTCTTATTAGATTACTATTAAATTCATAAATACGAGTACATAGCGTTCTTTTATATGAACGATAATTGAATGTTCAAAAAAATGGCTTAGGATTGTTTTATAGTAAAAATGATAGATAAAGCAAGATATTTATTCTTCCTCTTCTTCTTCACCATTTTCTCTTTGGCCAGCTTCACTGATTATCGTCTCCTTATCGTTTGAAAAGAATTCAGTACGCCCTTTCTCCTACAATATCTATGGGTATCGCTTGTTGGCACTCAAGAAATATCCAAATCAGTTCAGAGCACCGTATTGCAGATCTTGAATACGTTGATGATGTGGTCCTATTTGGTGACAGTTATACGGAAATGCAAATAATATTAAATAATATGTCAACAATAATGTTAACAATAACAATATGTCAACAATAATGTTAAATAATTACAGCGAGAATTGGACTAAAAACCAATATAAATAAAACGAAAATATTTTCGTCTTATAAAAAAGATGCTGATAAAATATCTAATTTTATTAATTGATTGCCGGTTGACTTTAAATATCTTGGATCCACTCTATTCCCAAATGTCCAGGCAAAGGATGAAATTGTAACCCGAATAACGACGACTAGAAATATGCTTTCCGGTTGATGAATCCTTTATATAATTGTCGCGAAATCACCAAGAAGACGAAAATGCGCATCCATATATTTGCAATTCGCTGGATCTTGCTATATCGCTGCGAAACATGACCAATGAGAGTGGAAGATATTAAGAAGCTATTATTCTTTGACCACTCTTGTCTAAGTTCCGTAAAGCGGATAAAATCGCACATGATTGTATCCATCTTCGCTCAAATATCGCCTGTATTAGTAATGTTATCACATTACTAGTAATGTCAGAAGAAGAAGAAGGACGAGTGATTATTGCTCAGAGTGTTATCTCGACGATCAATGATCGGTCTCAGCCTCCAAAAACGAAGCCTTGTATTGGAAAAATCTGAAGAATTATTAAAATCGAATTGTATTTTCCATAACAAGAATTTTTCATCTAATACAACCGATAGTGCGAGTTCAACCAATAATAATGGTTAATTACTTTTTGTATTTTGTATTCTTCAAAATTCCATTTATCAAAAATGCTGAAGAAATACAAAAATTTTAAAATTTTAAAATTTTTAAAAATTTAAGAAGAATTTCATATTTTTTGAATTTAATTCTCTGTAATTGTTTTATTCAAATATAAATTAAATATAAATAAATATATAAATATAAATAATATATAATAATAATAAATAAATAATAAAATATAAATATAAATAACTCGATATACAAATAAATAACTTGATAAATAACTTGAATCATGAAACTTGACAAAATTATGAAATTAAAAAATAATTAAAATTCTATCAAAACACACTGAAAAGAATTCATGCGGATTTAAAGGAACCCTAAACTTTAAACTTGTCAATTAAGGCGATTTCTGTTTAAGGTTTTGACTAATTTTATATTATAATTACGTTCAGTATAAACCCAGAAGGCCAGAAAATGAAATTAGTGAAATGGACGCTTATTTTGGATTTGATCAGCTTTTATAGATTCTTGACAAAAGTACAAATAAGTGGCAAATGAAGAATTATTACCCATGTTATTATATGCGATAATATTCCCCTTGTTCATTAAAAATGAAAGTTGTTTAATGAATTACCACTATGTTAGAGATTAATAAATCGCGTATAATGCATTCGTATGGTGCAGTAAAGCATCTATTATTAAATAAATTATCGAAGCATAATCAAAGAAATTTCGCTCAAATGGAGCGACAAAATAGCGACGGCGCGAATATAAATCGACATAATAGCGAAAATAAACATATGGCAGTTTTACAAAGTTTAATGCTTTTCTTTTAATTCTTTTGAGCTGGAATTTGAAAAAATCGAGAATTATTATCGAGAATCGAGAAAAAATTATAATAATGATAAAAGAACCTGGAACCTGGAATTTTCTTTCAAAATCACGATTCTCGATAATAATTATCTTGTCACTAAGCTATCGACAACCTATAGTGGTTTATCTCTTGGTATAAATCCGGTATGTTCACCTATTACGCACTATAAACAGTCCACTTAATAGGGGCAAAAACCTTCTCAGAACATCTAGCAAGCTGATTCCTCGATAATTGTCGTAGTACGTCCTATCACCTTTATTGGAAATTGGGAGCGAAACTACCGCACTGCTGTGAAAGACTGCGAGAAAAATTTGAATTTCAATAAGTGAATATGATTTATAATTTAGTATAAATCGGTTGCGAAAAACTAAGATTAGCATTTTTTAATTAAAAACCATCATTTTTATCAGTTTATCAGTTGTTTTTTCTAGGCTTTGATTTTATCCAAATTTTTGTTGTGATGCATTATGATATTTATTAAAAACTGCTCAAATCAACAAATGTTGCGTCGACCATGACCGACAATCCTGAAATTCAATTCTCGTCCTTTTGAGGAAGTAAATATATCAAAGATGGAATCGGATGCCACTGCAGATCCACCGGTAACAAAAGACGGGGTTTATCAACGTAGATGGTCCGAGATGTATGGCGAACTGAGTAAAATATCGTAAACACTCGACTAGCATCATAAATGACCACAATAAAAACAATCGAAATCGCATTTGATAAGAACCCTACAATCATGGAATTTGAATTTAATCCTGGGTTAGCTGTCTGCGCTGCATTTCAGCATGTACTATTATGCAAATCGGCTTCGAATTTTAATTTTGGAATTTGAAATTAAAACCTAATTAAGTGGCTTTTTGCGAATAAATATTTATTGCAAAGAGTGTTTGGTACTTTGGAACCAAGGGAGGAAGAGATTTGATTATTTTCGGTGAGAATTTTTGCAATATAAAAATTTGTTAATGAGTTATTTGCGAATATACTTTTATTTAAAATTTTAATTGCATATCCCAAAACTGAATTAAATTGATAAAATTTTTTAACCGTTATTCGCACTACTACTAAATTATAATCGCAGAAATTATTGCCGATTATTTATTCTTTTTTTTAAAAAAGTAAAGCTCCATTTTTTGGTTTTCATTTATTATTATTATTACTATTATTATTATTGATTTTTTTATTTTTTCCTATATATTTCAATTTCTTTTATTTTCATGAACGCCTTTTTTGCACAAATATAAAAAGAGGGAAGAGGGCACTTCTAATGCGTTAATATAAATACATAGTTTTTGTTATTTGCCTTTAAAGATTCAGTAAAGGTTAATTGAAATTATTGTGGAAATAATGTGGTTGTGGAATCGTAACAGGCGATAGGATAAATTATTGATGAAACTATTTGGAAAAAATAAAAGGAAAGAATCTCGCCATTCGCATTGTTTTGCCGTGAATCTGATAAATGAAAAATAACTCAGAGGTCAAAGGTCAATAATTGTTCATTCTGAAATTTTATGTATCACAAATATTTTTTTAATTTTCATATATAAAGCGATAAGTCGATTTGATAATTTTATCATTTTTTTCTAAAATTATCAGCTTTTGTTGCATCTTTATTGTATCTTTTTTTTCCGAGAATCTTAATTTTTTATAATTTTACAAAGCGGCAGGTGAAGTAAAAGTGTGAAAACATTTGTCTCCTTAGTGTTAACAGTACTTAATCCAGAGATGACTTGGATTCGTGAGTAAAATTACAAGTCGATCCTCATCGAGATCGGATTTTCAGTTTTAATAAGTGGTTTAATGCCTTTAAAAGACTCGAAATCGAATACATATTTCTCGATGCAGCAAAATAAATTTTGCGTTCGAGCGTTCATTCTCTTCGTCGAATAGTCGATTAATAATTAACAATTAATAAAATAATTATAAAATTGTATTTCACCCGTGATTTTTATGAATAATTTAGTTTTCAGAATATTGATTATCATTATAATCATTACAATCATATCTGTTGTGTTTATTGTGTTCTTTTCTTTATACAAATGTCGATTTCACGTTTTCAACGTGTTAAGCAATGGCTTTTATTTTCACGTCAGTGGCACTTAATCGATGCTACTTTTCAGGTATTCCGTGAAATTATTTTAAACTATTCTTTTCTCATTAAATTTTTTTTGTTGAGATTATTTTTTTCCTTTTTTCTAAAAAATAATAATTTTATAAAATAATTTTCTATATTTTCTCACAATTTTTTGAATTTTTCAGCAAAAACAATTTGATAAAAAAGTTTGCAAGAAAATAAAAAAACTTTTGCAAAAAAAATAGAAAATAGGAAAAGAAAATATGAAATTTATTGGCATGAAATTTGGCAAAAATTTGCATTCTATTTAGGATGCGGATAAACTTGGCGAAAAAGTTGCGAAATATTTGTCAGGTCGGCATAAGCCAATATTTCATCCCGAAACGGATTGTGGTGATCATGTTGTAGTTATAAACTGTAAAGATGTTGCAATGCATGCATTCGACTGGAAACACCTTTCGTATTTTTATAACCGAGTATGAGAAGATTCGAATTTTTAAAATTTTTCTCAAATGGTCCACTAAAGTTATTTTCTATGTTTTTTTTTTCAATCGCTTATTGGTAGCAACATTATCAATGCAATACAAAATTATTCAATTTTTTGGTGGTTTTGGGTCATTAGAAATATTTTTTTGAGCTTCATAATTTTTAATTTGTAAACGAAAATGAAATTAGTAGAGTTCGGCGTAATTCTTAGTTGTCCTTCCCTTTTTTCTAAAGGTTTTCTACTTGTTCTATAATGCCACTGGGAATGGTACAATGGTTCTATGATTATCGTATTCCAGTCATTCAACTGATTGAATTCTTTTGTATCACAAAATAATATAATATAAATCATTTTTTACGTTTTTATATTTAAATTCTCTTGAGGGTTATCCGAGGTCGAAGAAAAAATTACCAGCTTGGACTATTCATGATTATGATCCATGTCGAATTGTTTTTCTTGCTGTTTATAAGCATCTTGGTAGTCGAACTCCCAGGCGTTTATTTATTGAGCGATTACATTTATTTGCCAATGATAGTATGCCAGAATTCGTGCGGAAAAATATCGGAGCTCAGGTCATTTCATTTTTTTGAGAATTAGCCTAAAGTATGGAACAGTGGAACAGTTTTGAAATTCCAAAATTTTGTTTTTTTTATCGTTTTTTTTTTTTAGATAGAACAGGTGCAGAGTGTTCCAAAAAAATCGACTGAATATACAGCTGAGGAGCGTTCTAATTTTCCGCGAGTTTTCAAATATCCCGATACACATTTTGTTGACTGGGAGAAGCCTGTTCCACCAATTGAAAGATATACGAACGAGGATCGCATGAAGAAATAATAGTTTTTGTTATCTATTTTTATTACACTTTGCTTTGTACTTTGTTCTTATCGTTAAATTTTTTTTCCACTAATAATGAAACACTTCGGTGTGTGTTTTGCTCTTTTTTGAATTCATCCTTGTCACTTATAAAATGGGTGTCGATAAAGACCACAGATGTTGTGCTGATAATAAGATTTTTTGATAATGATATTGCGATGTTTCAGCTTTTTCCAGATCATGGTATTTTTTTTGTTAAATCCGATTATTATCTGGTAAATCTTCTTTTAATAGAGTAAAATTCACATAAAATTTAAAATGAAGTCTTATTGTATTTTTTCTTTCATGTATTTAATGAATTACAATTAAAATTTTGTTAATATTGTTTCATATTAGAGTTTTCATCGTAGTATATCATCAGAAATATATATTAACGATAAATTTTTCTTTATCTATCAGGTATTAATGATGTGGGCGTCCTCATTTTTTTTTTCTTTACGCATTTACAACAATGAGATAAAACCACTATCGATATTTGAGGTGATTCGTATTTTCGCAGCAATGCTTATTCAGCGAATTGTCTCGACGATTGGCATTATTTCGAGGAGAAAAACTGAGTCAGGTAAAATTAATAGATTAAAATTTGCTGATTTTTAAGTTTTTTGGAGAATTAAATTAGTTTTATTTTTTTTATTTTTTTCATTTTTTATTTTCGTTCTATTCAAAATTTCTTTCACCCTGAGTAATTTTTATAAATTTTATATTCATATTCAGCATATTTATAGGATCTCGAACACTGATATCTGAACTTGAATATCACAAAGAAGCTGATAAACTTTTGGAAAAATTAAATGATTACTTAGATAGCTTTCCTGATAAATTCAGTTGTGATGATTATTTTGATATCAATTATTCGATGGGAGTTCTTACAGCTAAGATTAGTTCATCTATTGGTGTTTATATTATAAATAAACAAACTCCATCTCGACAAATTTGGTTATCTTCACCTATTTCTGGTCCAAAAAGGTACAATATTTTTCGAATTTTTTTCACAAATGTTGGTAATAAATTAATCTTAATTTTTTGAAGGAAATAATCATTCTCTCTCTCGCTGGTTTAGATACGGTTTAGGTTTAGGATCGAATATCTTTATCCAATTACAATTTTTAGGATCAATTTGCAACGTAGGAGGAATTTATTTAATATTTTAATATTGAAAACTCTCATTGAAACTGTTACTCTCTGATAGTTTGTTTTTTTTTATTTGAATGTTTTTATGTATTAATTTATAGGATAAAAAATAAGAACAAATTTATTACTAATGACGTTATTTTAAGGTTCGATTTTATAAATAGAAAATGGATATATCCCCGAGAAAACATCTGCATAGATTCGTTGCTGAACCAAGAATTCAGAAAGATTTTTAATACTGATGAAATCGATTTCACGACTGTCGTCTAATAGAAAATGCATTTGCTGCTCGCATATTTAGTTGTGATGGATAGCTTTATTTGCATTATTTTCTTTTATGTAATTGTTTGACATAAGTTTTTGAATTTACAAACAATAATTATATGAACTCTAAGGTCATTCATTGTTCGACCTATTTCCACCCATATATATTTAGCAAATCTCTATTTCCTTGCCATTTTTAAATTTTTTTCTGTCTTATTTAGTGGTTTCCTCCATATTGATTAGATTTTTTAAAGACCGAAGACAGATTTAAAAAATGCGATTGTCAAAGTCCTTAACGGTTTTAATGATTCTGTTTGAACTAAGCTGAGGAGTGATTTCATAAACTAGAATGGAATTAGATAAAGTATTGATGATTAAAATATAATATGAAGTGGGTAAATTTTTCAATTTCAAAATTTAATTTAGTAATCTCCTGTGATATATTTGTATTTTCTTATCAATGATTTTTGATTTTTTTTTCATAAATTAAGATTTATATAGAAGAGGAAAAGCTCGTTATATTTTTAAACTATTCTTTTGTTTTTTATTCTATTTCTTTTTGTTCTATTTTTAATTTTAATTCTAGTTGGAATTGGTATAATTTAATTTTTTATAAACTCCGAATAGTCTTGCTCAGTGAAATAATTAAGTGGTAGCAACCATTTCTGGTTGGATTTGTTTTACAAGCTATTGGCATGATAAGAAATAAGTTTTTGCTATACTTGATGATAGAAATATAGATGGGCCGCTAGCACCATCTATATTTTTAGAAAACTATTGGAGATATAACTTGAACTGTGGTGCCGGTGACGATATTCCTAGCAACAACCACTCAACTGTGTTCTTTTCGATTTTCTTTAATGATTTTTATTGTTTTTTTTTGTTCCGTTCTATAATTAAAACTTTTCAGAATGGCTTATCAGTTTTTCAGGTTATTTTTAGTTAGATTTTTTTATATTTCGAGCAAATTTTTTTTACAAATCCGTAAGTCAGTTTGAAAATTCAAAAATTGATAATTTTTATAACTCTTGGTGAGATATATTCAATATTTTAACCTATTTGATAATAAATAAAAGAAAAATAATGAAATTAATTTATAAAAACGATTTTTTGAGTAAAAATGCAATGCAAATTAATCTGTTATCATCATTTTGAGGGTTTTTTTTAGAGTTTTTTTAAAATTTAACCGAAAATAATATGTATTTTGGTATATTTGGTATGGCATTTTGGTATTTTAAAATAATTTTTTTTTTAATTGTGCATTTCATTTATTTTTTGATATTATTTTAAATAAGGAAAAGTGCTAAAATTTTTTTTTTAAATTTCTTATTTTAAATTTTATTTTCGCTATTTTATTCGAATTCTTTGATTCAAATCGAACGTAAAAAAATATCGAATGAAACGTCGAAATTTAAAAATTTAATCTTTTTATGTTTTTAGTGCAAATTATTGTTACGAGATTATATTTTTTGGCAAAAAATATAATTCTTCGTTTTCTGCGACAAATTTTTTTTCTTTTTACAATTGATAAGAAACTTGGAAAATGATAAGAAGGTAAAGGACGAAATGTTGTAGGTAATCGATGTTCTTAAATGGTTGCAACAAATCGGTGCGTAATTTTCCTCGATATGCACTTGCGGAAAGGCGATCAGTTGCATTTTTGTTAATCAGTTGCAAAAGATTTTGGAGGAGTTGGAGTCAATCATTTAATAATTTTGCTCAATTTGCTGCAGCAAAAGAAAAACGAACAGCAAATGCATACTCCATTTCAGCATGGGTTACAAATTCTTTTGGTGAAGATATGACACTTGCTAAGGTGCAAATTCCTGAAATCCAAAGACCGAACCAACTTCTTATCAAAGTCAAGGTGAGCATTTCGATGATTAGTGTCGTAACGGTTGTCGTATATTTTTTCATTGTTTCAAAAATTCTAACTATTCTAACTATTCTAAATTATTCGAATCGCTGTAATTCTCATTGAATTCTCATTATTCTCATTATTTATTTCTTAAATTTTTATTAGAGAAATTTTATCATTTTTCGGCAAAAATATAACACTTTTCGCAAAATTTAGATTAGAACGTTTTTTTTTGCTTTGCATAATTTTATTTGAAAATCAAGAACTAAGTAGAGAATTATCGATTAATTAGTTATAATTGTTGTATAATTTAAGGCATCAAGTATTAATCCAATTGATGTGTTGATGCAGAAGGGTTATGGTGACGGAATTCTTACATGCTTAAAACAAATAGATGCAAGAGCGTTAACTCCTCTTTCAAGATTGCCTCTAATAACTGGTCGTGATTGCAGTGGTATTGTTGAATATGTTGGCGGTGGTGTTACTAAATTTAAGAAAGGTGACGAGGTTTGTGAAAAGAATTTTCTGTTATTCATTTAGTAAATTCATAAATTCAGCATTCAGAAATTATCTATTTTTAGAACTGTGAAATTTCTAAATGAACTAAAAGGAAATAAATGAAAATTATATATGAAATAGATTTTTGCTTAGATAATGGCAGTGATTAATCCAAGTCAGTCGGGTGCTCATGCTGAATACGCACTAGTCAACGAATGTTTCTGCGTGCACAAACCAAAAAACATTTCATTTGTTGATGCTGCATCTTTACCATATGTCGCATGTACAGCTTGGTCTGCTCTAGTCACAGTATTCTTTTCTATATACGCTAAATTAATTTATTAATTAATTAACTAGTGCTTACTAACAGGTTTTAGTGGGAAATTTCCTAAACCTTCGGAATGTTATGTTCAAAATTTTTGGAGTTTTGAATCTATTTAATAGTTCTTTGATAATTTCCGAATTATTTTAAAAAAATAATATACATTACCAAACTTTACTTTAATGTGCTTCTTATATTTTTATATTGTCATTTTCGTCTTATATCATATTTCCTTTTGGACTTGTTTTTAAAAAATTTTCTACAATTTTATGCTAATACCTCATAGTGAAATTTTTTTAAATTTCAGTTTGGCAGGATAAATTCATCTAATGCTCACAAAAATAATGTTCTGATTCATGGTGGCGCTGGAGGTGTTGGTAGTACTGCGGTGCAATTCTTGAAGGCATGGAATGCTAATAAAATTGTTGTAACCTGTTCAAAAAATGCGTGTGTACTTTGAATTCTAAACACCTCTAACATTTCAGAATTTTTGGCATGAACATTTTGATAATTGTTAATAAATTGTAATAAATCGTAATGCAGAGAAAAGAAAAAAAAGTATGGAAGTTATTTAGCTGAGAAGTTTCTTATAAATCTCTCTTTGAAGGTCGTGACTATTTGTATTTCCAGTTTCGAGCTTGTGGAGAGTCTTGGGGCCTTGCCAATCGACTATGAAAGTGAAACAGTTAAAGATGATTTGGTAAACGAAGGTCCCTTCGATTTGGTGTTGGACTGTGTTCATTCGCCATTATGTGAATGGAGCGATAGAGTTTTGGGCATTTGGCGTAATTCTGTGCATATTTCCATTGTTACACCAATCGTCAATGACTTAGACCAGTGAAATTTAAACATTTTTTATTTAACGTTTTTAACATTTTTTAACTTTTCTTCTTGTAAAATTTTCGCAAAGCCTTTATAATGATGTAAAAAGTGAACTGGTTTCTTATATTCATGAATAACAAATATCATTTTCAAATCTTGGTTTCAGGCATGGTGTGCCATTCGGTTTTGCATCAACAGCGATGAAGACTTTTTATCGTGCTATAGGGGTTTGATTTCATTCTTATTTCTTATTTTTTTATTTTAATTTCAATTTAATCTTTTGAAATTTTTATTATTCTCTTTGAACTGAACAGTGTAAATATTTAGAAGAAAATTTTGAAAATGGTTCTTATATGCATAAATATTTTTGTTTATGAAAGAGTTTACTTCAGATTATAAAAAATATTCCTAAATTATAAATTATAAATTTATAAATTATTTCAAATTATAAAAAATCTGTTTGTTTGATTCTTTAAAATTTATCCAGAAATTTTATTTATTATTTATTTAAAGCCCGCACATTATGGTCGATGGTTCCTGTACGCATTTTATATACCGAGTAGCACTTGTCTGAAGCATGTTGCAGATTATTTAGATTCTGGACAAGTATCGGAATTTATTGGTTTTAAATTCTTGAAATTTCTAATTTTTGATGTATCCCGTGAAAATTTGTAGGGAAAATTGTTTTTTTTCGATAATAATTTCAGAGTATAAAATCATTTTCTTTTTTTTTTTAAATTAAATCTTTTTAAATTTTCTTTTTTTTAAAACATTTTTTCTTTTACACATTTTTTCTTTCACTTCCATTTTGTTTTTAATTACACATTATTTAATCGATGTTTCTTTTATTTTTAATTGGACTCAAAGCAAGTAATTTTCTTTCTCCTTGAATGATAAAAATGGAAGTTGTGTAAAAGAACAGTTGGTTCCGTTTCTTTTACTTTATGTTTTAGTATTGAATTGCAGATGAAAGCAATTATCGATAAAATTTATTCGTTTGATGAGATGCCTCTCGCGTTTAACAGATTAGCTGAAGGTCACATAAAAGGCAAAGTGGTTATTGATTTCGATAGGAAAACGATCCAGGATATTCCAAAGAAAGATGAGGTGAATAAAGCATGAAGTGAAAGCTTCTGAGGATGGATTTTTGCAAAAATTGGAGGATTCTATATGATTTTTGATGCGATTAGATTATTTGTTAACGATTCGTCTTCTTTTAGGTAAAAGTATATCCGGAATAATTGAAGTTTTCTTTCCAGAAAAGCTTATTTAAATTGTCGTTTGATTGCATAAATTTTCTCAATTTGGCTATTCTTGATCTGAGTCTCCCGAATTATTTGCATTTTTCATGCGAAGTTGTTTAATTTGATAATTTTTTTGTTTTAAAATTTGTTTCATTGTTTTATAAGCATTTGTTGCTTCAAATTTCTTTTCTAATTCTTCTTCTTTGAGTGACAACTGAAAAAAAAATAAGTTTCCTACATTATTGTCTTTTATTTTTTTTTAGAATTGTGATCAGTTAGTTTTTTTTTTAATTAAGTAAATTAAGCTTTTGGTTTATCTTTAGTTTTTGATTAAATTAATTAGTTCTTTCGTTAATAAAACTGCCATTTTTTTATTTAAATAATTCCGTTTATTCAAATTATTACTATTACTTGTTTGTTGTAGAAATAAATATTTTCAAATTTTCAAATTTTTCTTTTATATATCGGAAATATATATATTAAAAAATTTTAGAATAATTTTAGAATAACTAGCCTGTTGTTTGATATGAAGAAAACGTTCTTGCAAAGTGACCAATTCTTCTACAAGTTTTGCTTGATTCATTTGGTGGCGTTCATTTTCCGTTTTTGATTTATCGAGTTCCACGACTAACGCTTCTATCATATTTCTCATTTGTATGATTCCCTCTGCAATTAATTATTTCAAAATAATTTACCAAAAAAAAAAAATCATGGAAATTTCTGGGAAAACTTTTGGAAAACTAAGCGAATCACTTATTCCTTATCAGTATATCGATATCACTGAATCTCATTGTTTATATAAAAAAATAAAACGGTTAAGCCTTTGGTTTAGAACGAGAAAAGGAGAAATGTCAAAATTCTGGTATAAATTTAAGGAAAACTAAGTTTTACCAGATTCGCGTTCAGCTCGTTCTTGTATCGTTCCTTCGAGTGCTACTAGTTTTTGTAAAATAGTCGCTGTTTTTGTTGTTTTTTGTTCGAAATGTTCATCTTCAAAAATGCGAACTGCATCGAGCAGCTCGCGATCCTCCAATTCCGACAAATTCATAAATAAATTTGCATTAAATTTTTCTGCCTAAAAATTCATTTCATTTAATTTTCATTTTTCTATTTGTATTTGCTTAAATAATATATCATTAAATTATAATATGATTTACTTAATTTATCCTATAAAATGAAAATCATTTATCTTATAAATGACCAATAAATGGAAGAGTATTGCTTAGACTAAAATTGCAAACATCGTACTTTGGTTGTCTGCTCTAAGTACCACAAATAAACTTTATCACATGGCCAATAAATGGAAGAGTATTGCTTAGACTAAAATTGCAAACATCGTACTTTGGTTGTCTGCTCGAAGTACCACAAATAAACTTCATCACATGACCAATAAATGGAAAAGCATTGCTTAGAACAAAATTACAAATATCATGCTTTGGCCATCTACTCTAATATTAATATTCTATATTGAATTATAGCAAATCGCATGTCAGAATGTTTTATTGTCTTGGTTTAAGCATAAGTGATTCCTATAGTAGTGGTTGCTTCATCCTGTATCAAATAGCATCAAATAGCCCGAAATTTTCATATACCCAATTCTTTCACTTGTCTGTTCGATGCGATATTTCTAAGGGCTTAACCCATCCAAAGAATTTTAACAAATTCAATTCTTAATTCTAACTTTTATACTTAATTCTCTTAATTTAGAGATATTTGATAAAATACCTATTATATCTATTTTTATCAATTCATTGCCGGTAGAGAAAGTCCGGCTCGACTTTAAATATCTTGGATCCACTCTAACCCCAAATGGTCAGGCAAAGGATGTAACCCGGATAACGATAGCTAAAAATATGCTGAAGAAGAAACGAAGAAAATTAGAGGTATTGATTAAAGATAACAATAAAAGAACTTTTCAAAACTAATAATTATCAATCGAAAAAATGATAATTATGATTATATTTTTGATTTTAAAAATAAATATCTAGCCTGTCCAAAAAGTTGTCGAAGCAACAATAAATTCATATGATTTGTATTAATTAATTCATTTTCGAATTCACCTCGTATAACGTCCTTTAGCACTTCCAAAATTTTTTCGACCTCTTCTTTTGTATAAGTTGCATCGGTTAGTTTTGTTTTTCTAAAGAATTTACTATAAATATAACTAATTTTATATATTTTTATTTTCTAAATTTATTTTTTTATATTATTTATTTAATGTAGTGAAAAAGATTTTGGTTTATTTGGATTTTATGGCATTTTTGGATAACGCTGAACTATAATTGAAAAGAGGATCACATGCGTGCATGTTCACTATTCATTCATTCGTATTTCCTCATAACACTGGCAATATTCAATACTTGGCAATAGCTTACTGTTTTATCACTAATAAATGTGAATATTATTGCCCATGGAAGCAAAAATTATCAGTTTCATTAGCCTAGTTTTAGGAAATTTAGTTTTAGTGGAGGAACTCTGTAAAGAACAGACTTCCACAGATTTTCTTCATCTTCTAACAGCTTACTGGTTAAGCTGGGCTTCGCTGGCTATAAGGGTAAGATGCAATTTGACCCGACAGTAATATAAGCCATTCCATTGTCTGTTTCCATCGTCGAAGTCAATATATCGCTTGTCTATCCAAACATTCAAAATCTTTCCTGGCTGTATTTGTTCAGGTCCATCCATTATAGGATTTAGCAAAAAATGAAATATGCGTTAATTTCTGTGAAGGACGATAACAGCCACTGAAGGCAGCACTTTTTTATGGTATTGCTAATGCAAGTGGTGCTTGAACGAAGATAGATGCAGCCATATGAGATTTTATCCCCTCGGGTCTATAAAATTTATCTTAGATTTTAAGTGGTCAAAGGCAGAAACTTCTCAGTATTCTCCACTCTGATTGGCAAAATCGAACAAATCGCAAAAGCGAAACTTTCGTTTTATTTACATTGATCCCGAACCCGATTTTCGCTACAGTTGTCACACTGTTTAGCACTACTTGCATTTCGTCATTACTGTTAGCAAAACATTGGTCTAAATCATCGAGGTCTATAATATTATGCTTTAGACTGATTTGTACACTTCCTAAGTGCCGACAAGCTATGTCCATTATCCAGTCTATCGCATAATTAAATAGTATAGAGGAAAGGAAACCAGTTATCGAAAGTTCCGCCAGTCGGTTCCTTATAAATACAGACTTGTGCCGATGTACGATGATGATGTACCTTTATGAGTCTAATGATCTTCTCTGGAACGCCATCACATTCCACCGCTCTCCGAAGCATTGTTCAAATGAATCGAAAGCTGCTGCAAAATCGATGAAACAAAAGACGGTGGATTGCCAGTATTTGAAACGATGTTTCAGCATCCTTCTTAATATGAATATCTGTTCAATCCAACCGTAATATAAACCAAGCTATACCAAGCTATTATGCGGATCAGAATCTAGCCTATTTAGAGTGTGTTCTGCTGTCTCGTACTACCATAAATCGATTCAATAGGGTTAAGCAAAAAATTTCCCAGAGATGTCTAATAGGCTGATTATGCTCTATAATTATCACGGTGCGTCCTATTACCCTTCTTAGAGATTGGAAATGATTTTGCTCCAGTCATCTGGTATTATTTCTTGTATTATCTGGTATTTCTTTTTTTCATATCAGAGAGTAAAGGTGCGATAATGAAAGGCGATGGACATTAAAGAGTTCGCCCAAGGTCATTTTCTCCATTTTTATTCACTTTATTATCCTTAAAGTTACGGATTCTTTTCTGTTCTTTCGGCGGTTCATAATTTGCAAGCATATGGCTCGATGAGCGAATCACCTATGACCGAGAGAATAGATGGTGTATCATGGTTGAGCTTACTTTCAAAGAATACGAGATCGATCCTAGTCATAACAGGCACACCATTGCTATTCTTTACCATTTCAATAACCGTTCGCAGAGTTATGGATGAAGGTGGAATAATTTTCTATTGTCATCTAATCCATCTCTCCATTTCCAAAGTCATATTCATGGCCACTCCATTGGTAATCCCACTGCTGTCGTTGTAATTCTTTGAAGGTAATCAGGATCTTCTGACATGCTTTGGCAGCTTTTTCAGAGTTTGATAGCTTCTCTCGATGGCCTAATATGGGATTGACTGACTTTCGAAGAAATGCTTTTAGATGGGACCAGTATTCATCCCCTGTTTTAGAGATGTTATTGATGTTCAGTTCACTGAGGTGTTTCAATAATTCGATTTGAAATGCACTCATTTTTCCCAATTTTTCAGTCTGAGATAATTGTAGGATCTTAGGATGCATTATTTTTTGCGACTCGCGAGCTGTCAACTTTATGCAAATTTTGGCTCGAACCATAACACAGTCCAATCCATGAAAGTTTATCCAATAATTTATTTAATATGGAATCCTTCTAACGGCGACTGTTGGTTTTTTAAAGAGTCCTCACCATTACTGGTTAAGCTCGCTCCACTGGTTTGTCGCATTGGATAATATGCCTAAATGAAGTCCTATGACGATAGAAATACAGGTGAGTCGTCAGAACCACACGGATTTTATATATAATTATTATTATCATTTTTCGGCATAGATATTGCTAGCAATTAAAATTCCGCATAGAACTTATCCTTATCCGGCCATATAAGCATAAAGTCGGAGCAAATATACTGACAACCGAAAAATTGCAGAATCTTCCTTTAAAGTGAGCATAAGCCATACGGTTGTTTACAGGGCTTCCACTCAGTTAGAGCGAATTGAACTTATTTAGACATAACGAATGTGCTATTCGTTACGAGTTATCCGAAACATCACAGTAATATAGGCAATACCTGTACTCAGAGCCAAGTTTACTTGCACGAGATCCGGAGTGTAAAAGACGTCTGATAAGAAGGCAACATCCAAAAGATATTTGGAAAAATTGCGCGCTTGGATTCTAACGTCCATAAGCTGTATCACCCTGATACGGATAAGATCTTGTCGCGCGTACAGAAAGCTGTTTTCCTTGACAGGTACATCGAGCAATTATCCTCTGGCGATAGAGTGAATCTCTCAACTTAGTAAGTCAATCTTTATCTATTTTTTAATGATACTGGGATATGCGCCAAATCAATTAATATTAGTACCAATTATTATTATTACATTGTTTCGTTGAAGAGTGCAAGAACTGTATTGATCCTCGATCGCCTTTGCGATTGACAAAATCTCAAATACTGAATCAAATTATTTTGATGATGATCTGTTAATCCGAGTTCTGTACTCATTGCCTTCTCATTTTTCTAAAATCGTATCGTCTAAAATAATTTCATAATTTACTTTTTCATTTTTTAAACTTTAAATATTTTTACCAATTATTTTTTCCATAGTTTCAAAATAATTTTTATTTTTTTATTTTTTCCATAGTTTCAAAATTATTCAAAAGATAATATTAATATTTAATATTAATATTTTATATTCATAATTGAGTATTCAAAAAATAATTTTTATATTAAAAAATATTATTTTTATTTATTTGTTTATTGAAAACCAGCCAAGCAGGACGCAAACGCTATGTGCTTGTATTAATAACATAAGTTAAAATAACAAACAATAAGAATTAATGACATAGACAAAAAATATAATATAATAATATATTATATTATAAACAATTATAGACAAAAAATAATATATTATAAACAATTATTATGTTATATTATTTTATTATAATATTATAATATAATATTTTATTATAATATACAATATTATAATATATTATTATTTTTATATTCTAGCATGGTAAATTGTTAAGAATATTTAAGCATAAAATGGCATATATTTAAAAATGTTTATCTGAAATTCCAGATCTGAGCCTTCCATTTACCTATGCAAAAATAAAGGGAAATTGGACAAATTGGTAAATAATAATAATGTTCAGCAAATAGGTAAAATAAATCAACGAAAAATGTATCGCTTTTTTAGATGCATAATAGGCTTTAAACATATACTTAGATAATGCTATAAAGCTTAACTATAGGCTAAAATTTACAAATACAGTAGTCCAGGCGATCTTCCAAAAATGGTACCGTAAAGCGAATATTTTAAAAAACCAACAAGTTTCGATAAACTGGTTAACAGTTGAATTTATAACCTTTAAATTATTTTAAAGAAATTATTTTAATTGAATTCGACCGTTTCATTTATTAAAAATTAGGTAAAAAAAAAAATTCAAATTAAGGTCGAATAAACCAAATAGGATGAAATTTTAGGTAGCGGAGGAAGGTTTCTTTTCTTTTTGCTAATTAAAAAAGAAATTAAAAATAAATAAATAATTTCTGGTAATATTTAGGAATAATTTGTTTATAAATTAAATGCTTTAAAATCAATAGAAAATCTAACAATTGGATTGTTTCCATAGAGATTTTCGAAAATTTCCGAGAATATTTACTTCCTATTTTTGAGGTAATTCACTGTTTCGCCAATTTTCTCCTCCTTTTAATGGCATACATCATTTCTGGCTTGGCTAGAAAATACGTAGCAAATGCAAAATCGATTTCACCAAGAGGAAATGAAATGAAAGAGCCACAAGAATTTTGCTTAATGATAAGATTTACTTTTCCACAATGCTTGAACTCAGCCTCAGCCAAGCCAATTAATACACCACTCTATTATGCAATTTGCCATACTTTTAAACGACTGTATGATCCTCTTTTGAACCGATCCTCTTTTCTTTACGAATAAAAATATTAGGCATAAAAAAACTTTCGCTTTTGCTTTATGGACTAAATAAGACCGCACATTTCGGCCAAATTGTCACCATATATTTACTGTTTTCACCGCTTTTCTTCCTCTTTTCTTTTGCTCTAATCTTTATTTACTTTCTTTCCTCCTATATCTAAATCATCCACCATAGTTTAAGCCATAATTTACTTTATTATTTTTGCAACCATCACCTATCTTAATGTTACGAAGAAATTTGTTATTTATCTAATATGCCAGCAGAATTACAAATGCGGAAAATAAAGAAATAAAATTTTTGGCTAATCTCAATTTTTTTTGTCAGAATTAAATTTAATTTAGTTAAATTTTATTTAATCTAATTATTATTTAATTGCAATAATATTATTAAATTTTATTAAATTTTCGTAATAAGATTATCGAATGAATTAACAGATATATAACAAATATTGTAGAAAATGCCGTACATAATTGAAGAGTATTTTTTATTATTCCCTTCTTACCAATAAAAAATATCTAAAATTTAATTTAAATATTAAAAAAATTAGAAAACAAACAACTAACAATTCGAAAATCTTTTAATAAATTATTTCCATGTAAAAAATAGTTTTTCAAATCAACTAATTAGTTGAAACTACTCGGAAATATAAGACAAAAAAAAAGATATTTCAATTAAAAAAATAATCAAAAAGAAAAATTTAAGTAAAACTGTAATAAACGAATATATTCGAATTATAAATGAAATATTTCAAAATAATGATGAAAAGAAAGAAAAAAACTATGAACAGTTTTGTTTCATCGATTAAAACTTCATGCAAAACGACAATATAAAATAAGAAATTTAAACATTATACAAGCACAGAAATGAAAAAATAAAATACCGCTTCGATACGAAAAAGTGACATGGCAAATGAGCATTAATGATATGAATAATATGGACAGACATATCATGCAAGGAATTACAAAAATATATTTCTAAAACGAAGTTATCAATAAGATCAAAAGACTATTAAAGATTTTGCCCTTAGAAATATGAATTAATTAGATCTACAGCTGCACTTTATAGATCAAAAGATAGTAAATCGTCTACATCACAGTTTACTATGATTATTATCAAAAATAATAAATTAATATAATTAATATAATATAATATAATTAAAATATAGAAGATTATCTACAAGGAAGCATTATTAACGAAAATAACAACTCGAAAAAAATTAATAAATTTTATTTGGAATAATCGGTTTTTACAAATTTTTGAATAACTCGGCTAAGAGAAATTCTTACATCGTCTCTGATGTCACATTCGATTAAGCGACAGATATTCAGCGCATAGCTGCGATCAAGATCAATCATCTAAAAATCATATAATTAAATTATTCGTTATGTAAACAATTTCTCAAGCAAAAATGCAATATTTACTCGAATAACTCAGTGATGCTGAAATTTCTTTCAAAACAACAATTAAACAACAATTAAAACTGAAAGAAATTTATAATTTATAAATTTATAAAGCATCTAAATATGAAACACGAATAAACAACTGATTAATAATAATCTCATCTCCAATTAACAAAGGAAAAAAAAATAACAAAGAAAAATAACCTGATATGGTGTTAAAGAATTCGACCTTTCAAGGATAAGGTGAAGAACAAGTATCCATGCTTGTTTATGTTGCTCAGAGTTCAAGCTCATAAAATATGTAATGGTATCGGATAGTACGCTATAAATATCGACTATTTAATAAAATTTATTAAATCATTAATGATCGAATAAAAAATTAAAATAATTAATTAAAATTAAAAGAATCAATTTCCTAACCACAAAAGCCTTTTTTTCACATCGTTCTTTTGTTCTAATGATGTTCTCTGAATATCGAAATAAATCTGATATAGAATACAAAGAGCAGTACGTACGCTATGAGTTTCCTGACGCAAAAGATTAGGTTTACTTCTACCTGAAAATTCTGCACTAAAAATTGAAAAAAAAGCACATAAATTACATGGACAAATGGATTTCAAAATTAAACAGATAAAAAAATAAAGAATGTAGCTGAGTGGTGCAGATTATCGAATAACATCTGCCAACTTTTATGGCGAAAATGAAACCTATTTTGACGCTGGAAAGCTCTTATCTCCACGTGATTTGCTAGCCAAAAGGCCTTATCAATAACAATACATAGTGGAATCAGCCAAGCCAGATATGGTAAATGCTGTTAGAAAAAAACGGATAAAAATCAAAGATTAACCTTTAAATCCGGCCTTCCATAAAAGGGTTCGCTGTGCATTGTTGCCATTAAATTTTTGCGCCAGCGAATGAGAGTCAAGAAGACATGTAACTAATTCTAGAAGGTGATTGATAGCTGCAAACAACAAAAATGAAAATCATTTAATCAGAAAATCCAAACAGAAGGAAATAGAAAAAAACAAAAACTACCTATACAATGGTAGAGACCATTTTGAGGATTGGAATTTCCATTGTTAATCGTATTACAAGATCCATTTTCTACATTATCATTCATAGAAGGAATTGTTCCTGCCGCAGAAATGTGAATTTTATCTTCCTATTAATCAATGTATATTTAAGCACAAGAAAATAAACACGTAATGATTGAGAAAAAATATGTTTCTTCAAATTATTTGATATTCTGTTTATACTCTATAAATTCAACAAACTTTACGCGAAGAGCCAGGACCAAATATAATATTATTTACGGCATCCACAAGTTCTAACTGAACGACGCATCGAACAAGCAGTGACGAGAATAGAGCATCACAATTGCTAAAAATCATGAATATCATAAAAATAAAGCAATAACGAATCTGTCCACACACCTTAAATTGATCCACACCTTAAAACAATATTTCAATAATTATCTAAAAACTTATTTTTCGCATTTTGTTATACGCACTGTAATACGTACTGTAACATGAGGTTTCTAATGAGATTTAAAAGTGCTAGACTGAAAAATAAACTGTAAAAATAAAAATAAATTATTAACATATTCAAATAACGAATGAAAACAGAAATAACTCACTCCCCATTCAACCGTAACAGCGGTTGAGAAGGTTCATTATTACAATTCTGTGGATCGTTACCGTTTTGCAGAATAAATGGAGCCATTGTAATATCTGGTTCCCATGTAAGAAGCCTTAATTCATTCTAATAGAAGCTTACAATTAAAAACCTAAAACGAAGTCCTTTTCTACACTACGCAAAGCAAAAAACTTTTTTGTAAGAAAAAAAATCTTACGAATGAGGTAAAGTAGAATTGAACATATTTACTATAAGTGTTATGGTTTCCACCCACATGGCAGAGGAAAACTTCGAGCCATTTAGAAGAATTAAACTTTCCAGACAATTAATTGCTGAACGAGCAAGTTGTTCATTTTCTAAAATCAAAATTATTAAATAAGTTCATAAAAAGAAAAAAATGATCTCACAATACTAAAAAACATAATTTTGCTTAGTTTCTCGATAGTTTCTGCATCAAAGAAATTGAATTAAAATCAGACGAAAAATTCTAATCTTAACCTTGCTGTGCACACCAAAACAACTGTTCATATATATTGCTTAGCAAGACTGCAGATAATTCTGCATAATATTGAGTGAAAACATCAACAATTGCATAAAGTGCATGATTACATGTTGTTCTCATCCATTCAAGTTTCTGAAAAGCAATTTTCAGAATATTCATCAGTTAAGAAAAAGTTATTTAAGTTTAGAACTTACAACAAACTATCTAACCTCGTTCTGCTCCTCAGTTAATTTCATAACATCAAAAATTCTGAATACTACTAAGAATATATCTTTCCACCATTCCTCTTTAAATTCATTCCCATAAGTTTTCATAATTTCGAACATAACCGTAAGGCTCCTGAAATATAAATGTGAAAATTAACAAATGAAATTGAAATTTTGGTCATCCTACAGTAATTCATTGCAAATATTGGATTTTTGACTATCATTCGTTGTTTGACTCATAAAATAGGTAATAATAAAGAAAACCATGCCTAGTCCTCACATCCAATTTGCATCTGCCAATGATACATGATAATTCAAAAATAATGGGAAACCAGCCACGAAGAAAAACGCGCTGTGTATCATTTATAGTTGCTCCATCTTCCCACTGATGATCAACAATTAACTGCTGATTCAACGATACATATGTTGCACAAAAGCGGATTAAACGTATGGCTTCCATTGAAATATCTGGATAATTTGAATTGCAAGCAAATTCAGATAAGCATTTTATGGCATCTTGGAACGAATCCAGCACGTTAACAAATTCTTTCGCGAATACTTGGGCTAGAATGCGAATCATTAGTTTTTTCTACCTTTTTCAATTACTTTTAATAAAATTTAGATCTCTATTTATCATCCTGAAATGCGAATTTATATATGTATACATATAAATATCATATCGAAATAAATTTGCATTTTAAATGGTACTAAATCCAAAAAAACCACGAAACGGAATTAAAAATTTTTAAAAACTTTAAAAAAATAAAAAAATAAAATTTTTATTTATTTAAAAATTTTAGATTTTTAAATTTAACGATAAGCATAATATAGTAATTAAACGAAATTTTAAGATGGAATTACGCTTGTGATAAGCAAGCGTAATTAGTAACTAACTTATGATGAAATTTGTAGTAATAAAAGCGCTCTCAACAATATTTTCATCAGTTCCTCCAGCTGCCATCGTAAAAACTGAGAAGACATTTTTCCAACCAGAAATAATTTTGTTCCAATGGGAATTCACCATATGACTGATACATTCAACAACTAATTCTCGACATTTCAAAGAGCTAAATTTTTTAATAAATATAACCTTCAAAAAGATTTATGTGCAAAAACCTAGATCAATGAATATTTGCTGGCAAAAAACATAAGCTCTAACTCACCGGTTTTTGTTCATAATGATCTCAAACGGTTTAAGGAAATCCTTCTGAAAACGAAAATTGTGCAATTCGCCTCGTTCGAGGAATTTCATAGAAAGTTGCCTTAGCGCATCAACCGCAAAATGAGCCACAGTTTCATTCGCATTGCATCCAGCCTGAATTAAATGAATCAATTAATTTCTAAAATAATTTTTTTTTAAACAGTGAACAGTGAATGAGCAAAGTACATTATGTAAATTCCAAAAAGAATGAAGAAAATAATATAAAAAAGGGGAAAAAATTTGAAAAACAAGAAAACTGAAGATTTACTTTATTGAAATGTTCTCCCAAAATGTTCCATATTCTGGACCACTGCAATCGAATTCTATCCATATTATAAAAAGATATTTCGACTATTTTCTGTAACATATACATTCGTGGATTACCTGCTGCTGATAGTTCTTCTTTTGAAACTTCACACAATGCTCGTACGAAATGAACCACAGCATCACCATCTAATTTAGAGGAGCCTTGAAAAATTCTAAAAACCACTCAAATCAGTGCAGCTAATAATAAGTTAAATCAAGATCATGAAAATAAAAACGACAATTAAACGACGCATTCAAGAAATAGCAAAGTGCAATAGAAATTTTTTAACATAAAATTTTCAGCATAACGAACCACTGGATAAACAAAAGTGATTTACCTATCAACAGCAACGACAACATTTTGTGAGGTTGTTTCACCCAGGCATTCCTGTAGGCTAGATAACATACGTTCATCGACATTGGCGGCGCTTTTCAGGACATCTTAAATGACAAAAGTATATGGAATTCAAAATAACGATCTAATCGTTATCTATATCGTTAAAATATATCGAAGTAGAAAAGAGCAATAACTAATATATCCAAAAATGAGCAATTATTATTTGAAACAATCACAATTATAAAATTATAATTGAAACAATTATAAAATACATTTGAAAAATTAAAAAAACCAACAGAATGTGAGAAAAACATACATTGCGCGGAAGAATCATTAAATTCCGGCGAATTCGACACGCCAGTTCCAATTAATTGAGCTAATTCCAATTGTGATATGCATTTCAGTATCTTGAAATTGAATGGTTCTCCTTTATATATGGATTCAGTCAATGTAAATAAAAATAAACTACAAAAAATACCCACAAGATATTCATTGTTGTAAAAGATAAAAGAAGAAATTAAGAGATATTATTACAAGAATTCTACGAAAGAAAATTACGAACGTCGATCCACGATTCATCTAAGCAATTTCCGTCTTCGCTTCCAATTGTCATCAGCAGCTTTATGGATTCGATATTTTTTGATTTCATTTCAGCCATCGAATTTTTTGCAGTCAAAAGTGTAAACCTAAAACAAATTTTCAAAAAAGTGCTTAAAGTGAAAAATTTTTTCATTTGAAAAATGTATTATATTTACCTAGCAAGTGCTTGCAAATAGGCATTTCTTTCCAAAGCAAGGCGAAAAACACATGCGATGCGTATTCCTAACCTAAAACCTTCCAAACAACGTGCAATAATCTCAATATCTTCAGATGTTTGCAAACCAATGCTAAACGCAGCTAGGCAAGGTGTCCATGCGATCTGCAAAATTAAAAATGGATAAGAATATCATTTCACAAAATTTAACATTATAACCGAAAAATAAACAAACAAAAACCTTGAACATCGGTCGAACATGTTCATAATGTGAAGCTGTAGTAAATGCCGCTTCATAATGTGATGCTGCTTCCATTAGTGCACGAGCTGTTTGAGCCATCGCAGCCAATTCAAAATTTTGTAAAAGCTTTCGTTGCCGTTCGTTTGCTGTCAATGCATCTACAAATAAGTTTCAACCTCAATTCTTTCACAAAAAAATAGGCCTTTGAAAAAGCTTTAAAAGGCCTATACACAAAAAATATAATTTGAAATTTACTTGAATATAACTCTCAAACTCCATTTTAACTCTCAAATTTAAAGCTCATTTGAGACAAGCAGTAAAAATATGGTGAATCTATTAAGATTACTTTGCTTTGGTATCTTTGTTAAACCAGGCTTCATCTTTATCTCATTGCCAGCTATTTCGTCATAAATATCAGAAAGATATTGTCTCGGTAAATCAGATTGATCATTTATTCCACGGTTCATTGCAATATATTGATCTTTCGTCATTTTGCTACGAACCTAAAATAAATAAAATGACTTTGACAAAACTAATATATTATTATGACAAGAATAATGGTGTACTTGAGGGCTATGTAGATCCGTCGTTAGCATAATTATGGAATAAGCCAAGACATAAGCGGTATCAGCTGATGCAAACAAACCAAGACTGTAAGATTAGTAAGATTATTATCAGTATTCGTTGTTACCTAATGAATTATTTATAAATCTACTGTGCACAAAATAAACAACCTACTGTGGATTGCACTCACAATAACGAGATGCGAATTTCTCCATAAGGCGATCAATTTTTTGTGCTTCTCCAGGAAGTCGAAATCCATCTAAAAATTGCCGCAAAGCGGCAACAAAATCCCGGTTGGAAAAATCGAGCTGATCGATATAAGCATACATAATCTGCTTATTGAAGCTAAAGAACAGATAAAATATATAAGAATGATGAAAACTGCAATAATTACAATATTACAATTACAATATTAAATAATTAAAAAATTCCCTTATAAGATTCAAGAAATGAATGAATTTATTATGCATAATATGGTCGAAAAAAATGGTTTTCTTGCTTAAGACAATAAAAATATGCCGAAAATTCAACTTACTCGTCGCCATCACCCAAAAAATCACCCAACACTGTTTTGTCCAATCTGTCTTCTTTATGGAAGAATCTGGCAATATCTTCAATTTCTGATCCGATAAGTTGTCTTTCTTGGAGAAATTTTAGCCCATGTTTTGGCTTACGGGAAAACCTTTATATATTATATTATATAAAAAAATATTAAAAATAAAATTTTTTTTCATATTTCTTTTCTTTAATATATTTCTTTTAGAAAATAAAGTTTTCATTCCAGCTAATTCACAATATGAAAACAATTATAAATAATGTAAAATAATAACCCCATAAAACCCCCATATTATTAATAATGGAATAAATACTACTTCAAATAAATGTATAACAATTAACAGCCACTGCGATTAATCCTATTGAGTGAAGAAGGATACTTACAGATAAATCCCATGCTCTATCGTCTCTTTCTTTTGTTTTAGTTGTTCATATTGATGAACCGTGGGTGATTCAGGATGATTAATTTGTTCTAGCGTTCCACCTTCGATACTATCGTCATCTAAATTTCGATATATTTAAATTAAATACGTTATATAAAATAAAAATGAAGGATTTATATGAATTTTGAAATACCATGGTGGAAAGTGCCATTTATCAATCCTCGACCTCCATAAACATCATCAAACCAGTCTACCATGCACTGAAGACATTCGACTAGACATCTCAGGCCTAATATTCGCATCGAACGTTCCCGCTGTTTATGAAGGATAGCGGTTGTGTTACTATAATCGATCACATATCCACCCTTAAAAATAAGGATCCATTTTATAAAATATGAGAATTTATCAAATAATCGTGACAAGAATGAGAGAAAGAAAAGAAAATTTTTTTTATTTACTGCTCATTTATTGAAACACCACGTATATAATATATATATATATATATATATATATATTATATATTATATATTATATATTATATATATATATATATTATATATTATATATATATATATATATATATTATATGCTTTATATCGTTTTATTTTTAATGCATACAAATAAAATATAGATTATTTACCAAATCTATTACCAAGAAACATCTCTTATTACCAAAAGTGAAAAAATAAAAACCTGAGCTATTTTCGAAAGACAGTTCACAATTCGTTCGAAAATATTTGCCGAGGTAAGATCACAATCATAGTTGACGTAAATATCCACAAGACTCTGCGGGTCTTCGCAAATTTTTGCTATGCTATTAATTACAATCCATTTATGCTCAAATGAACTTGAACTACTCTCCAGTATAGAAAAAATAATTTCCTTGAAAAATACCTGCAAAAATTTTTATATCTTCGATCATGACATTGTACATTTGCAAATAGATACAATAAAATTAATTCAACTTATCCATTTGCCTTTATAACTAACTTCGATTTGTATTTTTAGATGCATTTTAAAGTTATTGACGAGCTGTACAAAAATAGCGAGAGATTTTTCGAAAATAGATACAACTGGTGAAACACCATTTCGCGAAAGCGAAACGCACAAATAATGGCGGAGAGCAAGAACAAAAGGCTGAGAATTGTGCGAAAAAGTGGAACAGTTCTGAACGATTAGTAATAACATTTCCAAAGAAAGTTCTTTTGATCGAAGTTCATGGCTACTGAAAAAGAAATTCATAAAAAATTATCAATAAAAAAAAATTAAAATTAATTAAAAATTAAAAAATGATGATTGATAATTCTGAAATACTTCATTTAAAGCAAAAAGTAATAACTTAGGATCGGGTCGTTCTGGAAGAGATTTCGTTGACAGCCTACATAATGCACGGAACAGTAAAAAAGCATCTTTTTCTCGAACATTTCGAAATGCTAAATGAGCAACAGAAACATCATCGTAAAGCATATCGGTTGAATCAGTTGCCAGCGCACCAACATTCAAAACTCGTGGATGCGGAGTGATATTTTCAACAGATAAAATCTAAAAGTTAATATTAATAGTACGTATGAAACCAAACGGAAATCTGTCGAACAGATGAATGCAATAAATTTCAGATAAATTTAATAAAAAAAAAAAGAAATCAGATACACTGGCGGAACTATGAACACTACTTGCAAAAGACCCATTTGATTCGAATTCAGCTACTACCTGGTTAACTATATAATCAATCACTTCATCAACTGCCTGAAAAAAAAAAAAAAAATTTGCAAATTTATCGATAAAAACATGATTTAAAAAAAGTAGAACTAGAAATCAGTATATAAGAAAATAAATAAATAAAACAAACTTTATCCTTAGCATTAAAATCTGCATAATTTGATTCTGACTTGAGCAAATTGCCGAAGACCGTATTAATTACCTTAAAAAGATATTTAATATTAATTTAAACCAAAAATAAATTTAAAATAGGAAATGAAAAATTAAGTGAAATAATTTATAAATTATCAGTTAACTTTGAAAAATAATTGACCTGTGTTAAAGAAGCCTTAGCTGTTGATTGATTAATAGGACTCCTACTCGCAAGATATATATTAAAACAAGTCCGTACAGCAAGTAAGAGAGTTCCTTCATGCACTTCGCACGTAGGAGCTAATATTGCTGCCAGAATAGCCTGAACATATCAACTTAATAGAAGGCAGATAAATGTAACAAGACACAGCAACATAGAATGCAGTTAAAAAAACAAAATCAGCAAGCAAAAAAAACCTTTAAAATCTGAAGTTGAACGCCTTCATCAGTATTCGGACCACTGAAAGGAGAACAAATCGCTTCAACAATACGGTCAATCAAAAGCCTCTCAGGATTTGCAATATCAACCCCACTGCCAGTAAGATGACCATACGCTATTAATTTCTAGAAAAAAAAAACAAAAATATTATCAAAAAAAATATTAAAGTTAAATCGAATATGTCAAAACACTCAAAATATTAATTAATAAATATAATTTTGCCTAGAAAACCTAAGCTATTAAGAAGTTATTAGCCTTTGACCACTCATACTTAAGGTACATTCTACGGTTAGCGTCAAAAGCGAAGAGGACCAGTCAAGACCTGGACCGATAGAGACAGGAAAGATTTTGAACGTATAGGGAAGCCAGCGATATATGGACTTAGACGATGGGAAAAGGAATGGCTTCTATTACTATTAGCGATAGTGTCGGACCGGCCAGCTTGGAGACGATCTTACTCTTAGCCAACCAACGGAGCCAGCCTAACCAGTAATGATAAGAAGAAGAGAAAACCTAAGGTAGAGCTATGTTCCAGCATGTACTATAATTTATTATATTTACTAAATATAAAAAAGATAAGACCTGCAAACAATCTAGCGCTATTATAACAATTTTAGCATTTTTTGAGCGACATGCAAGATCAAACGGTAGAAAATATTGGTCAGCCTGAATAAAATGCGAATTTGATGGAAGAATATTTGTCGAGATGTTATCTTCGCCATCACATTCCAATTGTAACTGCTCTAAAGCTTGTTCACAAGCTTTCCGAAGTTGCAAATGCTCCTTAAAAATATTTTGTTTTTTTAAAAAATATTTTGTAAATATATAATTTGAATAAAAATAGTAATTTTCTTCCAGAATTTGGAAAATTAATGGTGGACTAAATAGAAAAAAAGTTTTTCACAGCGTTTTCCATTGCTTTTTTCTTCTTTTAACAATTCTATTATTAGAAACCCGAGCACCGATTTCATTCCTTCTTCTATTCTTATTTTTATCATTAAATCTAATTTTAATTTTAAAAAACACTCATTCTGATAATCAGAAGACCAAGAAATTGATTCCATCATAATGAAAACTTTCATTTCAAATTTTATTTTGTGAAATGATTAATGTTTACTTATAATTATAAAGCAAAAAAGCAAATGAAAAATTTACTTTACGCTTTATATCACGCTCAGCAAGGATTCGATCAATAGCACTGCGAAGAAACATAACCGACACTTTCTTCAAATCATCATTCATATCCAAACATTTTCTAAAAAATATTTTGATTTAATAAAGAAAAAATTAAAATATCAATACGAAAAGTATTTCGACAGTTATGAGAGATTACAAACAAACATACACGACGGCCAAAAAATTAAATCTTTAGTCTTAACAAAATTTATATCGAAAGAAAAAGTATAAAAATAAAAATTAAAGAACTGATAAAATTGATAAATTCGATATGGTCGTACAAGCATATAAATATTATCAAAATATTAATATTAAATATTAATTATTATCAAAAAACATTATAAATTAATAGTTTTTTAAAATGATTGAATCTTTAAATTAATATACAATTAGGAAAAAAATAAAATAATTAAATAAAAATAATAAAAAAAATCAATTTAGCCGATTAAAATCGTATATGAACTGTCAATATTGTTTTTTTCGTATTTGAAAGTAAGAAAATTAAGTGGGCTAGCATTTACCACCAGGTTAGATTAGCTCCGAGGGCTAGAACGATCAAAAACTTTTGTCATGGAGTCAGATGGCAAAAAACGTGGGTTGCCGATATTTCCCCGATTTTTTAATAACCTACATGACAGAGTAATAACAGGTAAGAAGAAAGTGCTGAAAATCTATTCGGTTATTATTCCGCTCATATTTAGATGATCATTTGCGAATCATTTTCTATTCAAAACTTTACGAAATGGAAAATAGAGGACCAATTTTTAAAAAAAAAGACAGCAAATTTATTTCAGCTAAGAATGATAAGGAAAAAGATCTCAAGCAAAAAAGGATTATTAAAAAGCATATTAAGCCCGAAGAGATTTCGAGCCGATATAAGAATTAATTTAATTACGTTCTGCAAATCGACTACTCGTTCAGTTTAAATGAATTAAATTAATAAAATTCAATTTAAGAATTATTTGATCTTAAAATAGATTAGTTATGAATTCCGATCCGTTATATGAATAGCGATAACACTCATTTTTTGAATATAAAATGAAAGAGAAAAAAAAATTGCTAAATTGTCGATGAATCTATCGTATATAAATTATTACAAATTATTGTTTGAAGTAGTAAAAAAAAAAAACTGAACGAGAAAAGATAGATTTTTTATTAATAGTAAAGGAAATTCATATATGAATAGTACGGAAAAAAAAACAAAAGGGAAAGAAAAAAGTGCGAAAGTAAAGAAGCAAGAAGTACGTAAACCATTGCCATCTTAGCTTTATCTATCTTTTTCTTCTTCTAATAGCTCCGTTACCATTACTGGTTAGGCTGACTCCGTTGTCTACAAGAGTAAGATGTCTCCAAGCTGCTTGGTCCGACGTCATCGCTAACTGTAATAGAAGCCATTCCTTTTTCCATCGTCTATCGTTGGTCTCTCTAAATCTTTCTTGACTATATCAAACCAGATCTTGACTGGTCCTCCTCACTTTTGAACCATTATAGGATTTAGCAAATAACGAAATATGCGTCAACTCCTTTGGTGAACGACGGAGAACGAACTCTAAGCAGCGTAAATAACGCTCTATGATAGTATCATTAATACAGGTGAATTAAGATGGATACAATCATATGTAATTTTATCTGTTCAACGAATCCGTAAAATGCACCTTAGACATGAGTGGTCAGAGGCTAATAGCTTCTTAATATCTTCCACTCTCATTGGCCATATCTCAAAACCACATAGCAAGATCGAGCGAATTGCAGCTATATGGACGCGAATTTTTGTCTTTATGGTGATTTTGGTGTCTTTATGGTGACAGTTCCATAAAAGTCAACCGGAAAACATATTTCATGCTTTTTCTAGCCATTTGGGAGTGAATCCAAGGCATTTAAAGTTAAGCACTTTCTCAACGGACAATGAATTGATAAAGATAAATATTTTATCAGCGCTTTGGAAAATAAAATGCCTTTATGAGCCGAATGATTTTCTATGGGGCATGATACCGTGAATCATTTTCCAAAGCGCTGTTCTATCAAGCGAATTGAAGGCAGCTGCAAAATCGATAAAGCAAGTGACAGTGGGCTATTGGTATTTGAACTTGTGTTCCAAAATTCTTAACGTAAATATCTGGTTAACATAACGTAAATATCTGGTCACAACCGCGTCCCGATCTGAATCCACCTTGGTTAGGAGTCATCTTGCTATCTCATGTAGCCATGAGTTTATTTAGAAGAAGGGAAAATTTTTCCGGAGATGTCCAGTAGGCTGATTCCTCAATAATTGTCGCAGTGCGTCCTGTCCTTTTTTTCTTAAGCGTCCTTTCTTAAGAGTTGGAAGCAAAACTGCTTTGCTCCAATCTTCTGGTATTATTGCCTTTTGCTATACCAGAATACATTTGTTAAACAGGTGAGTTATTAATGATGATGAAAATTTGAAGAGTCCAGGAGTTTTATTGGCCTTAAGCTTATGGTTATAGAGATTATTCTTCTATTGGCGGTTCACAGTTGCAAACCTATGGTTTGACGAGCGAATCAGGGCAACGGATGGCGCATCGTGGTTACATCTGGTCTCAAAAAATTCTTCCCACCTTCTGAGGTGATCCTTAACAGCTTTAATAGGCACTCCATTAATATCCCGTGTCATTTCACTGATGCTTTCTCGAATTATAGTTGCTTTGCGAAGAAGGCGAAACAGTTTCCTATTATCACCTATCCGAGCCGCTATCTCCATTCTCAAGGTCATATCGTTCCAATAGCGATAAAAAAATGAGAAAGTAAAAAAACAAGAAGACGCAAACCGTCTTAGTTTTTTATTTATAAAAATGGAAAGAAAAATTCGAATTTAATTTAATATAATTCTAAAGCTTTTTGAAGATAAAATAGGGAAATCAAAACAAAAAATATTTTGCAATGAATTCTATTTTAATGAATTTAATTCTAAAAAACACATAAGAATAAAATGCAATTCTATTTATTATGAAAATTTAAATCTATTTTTAAAAATTATTTTTAAGTTTTTAAAAAAATACAATTTTTTAAATAAAAAAATTCAACATAACCAAAGAATCATTTAAAGCATTTAAAGTGTTTACAATCTAAAAGAATTAAAATAAATTAAATTAATTGCTGGAAAAAAAAAGGAATAAATAATTGAATTCCAATAAATTCGATAGGTCAAAGGTTAAGTGCAAACGAAATAGCCAATTGGCGACCACTTGATTAATTAAGCTATTTAATTAATTAATAAGAATTTGGCAGAATAATAAAAGAAAATGAATGTAAAAATCCACGTAAATAAACGTTTTATCGTAAACATACAATCTTCTCGAGACTCATTTTTCATCGATTAAAAATTTAATAGCGAAAAATTCCAATAATTTTCACTGGAAGAAGCAAACAATCAATCTCTTAGTATACATTTTATAGTTGGCTTATACAATAGATAGGCGAAAATGAGAAACTAAGAAGTTTTTCAAATAACAGATAAATACCAGTTTTAAGGAGGTGCAAATTCATTCGCTAGAAAAACAAATATATATTTATGAAATCACAGGCAAAATAATGCTTTACACTTCTCATGGATCGAAATGTGATATCTTATCACTTTATCAGTATTTTTAGGCGACTCTTATCCAATACGTTCGTTCTAAAATGAGTAAATTTATTAGTAAAGAATAATAAGAATAAAGAATAAAGAATAATAACGAAGTAATATTCGTATTTCAATTCTCCAGTGACTTATCTCATGTATCGAAATATGATACCTTATCACTTTATCAGTATTTTTAGGGGATTCTTATCCAATACGTTCGTTCTAAAATGAGTAAATTTATTAGTAAAGAATAATGCGAAGAAATAATATTCGCATTTCAATTCTCCAGTGGCTTATCTCATGTATCGAAATATGATATCTTATCACTTTATCAGAATTTTTAGGCGATTCGTTCGTTCTAAAAAGAATAAATTTATTAGTAAAGAATAATGCGAAGAAGTAATATTCGTATTTCAATTCTCCAGTGATTTTACTCTCTCTAAAATGAAAATATTTTAATCAAATAAAAATGAAAAAGAAATTATTGAAATAAAAATTTTTGCTGCTTCTTTTCAGTGTTTACCAATTGGATTCGTTCAAATTGACTTTAATTCTTTTTCTTTTCGTTTTTTTTTCTTTTTTTTTCATTTCATCAACGGGTTTTTTTTTTCTATTTTCGTTAATTCTTTTGCGTATTTTTTCGTCGATTCTTTTCAATTTGTCTCATTTAATATTTTTCTTCTATTTTCTTTTTTTTTTCATTTTTTCTATAAAATTTTTATCATTCGAATCAAAAATCTTCGATGAAATATTCGAAATTGTTGAATGATGAAAAAAAAAATTTAAATTTTAATATATATAATAAATATAAATTATAATTTCATATATAATTTCTTAAATTTAAATATCAAAAATATAATTTTAGAAGAAAATAAAAAAATATAAAATTTATTTATTTAAATATAAAATAATTATTTTAGAAAAAATATAAAAATATAAAATTTATTTATTTTTTATTGTTATTTTGTTATTTTTGTTGTTTTTGGCTAATATTCTTTATAATATTTTATTCTCTGCAGTGATTCTCTACTAAAATTGTCGCATTCGACTAAATATCCACCGAGTGAATCGAGCGAGCGAGTCGAAAAGCGCAAATCACTTATTTTTTCATTTCTTCTTTCCTAGTACGTCTTTGGACGATATTCTCATTTATCTATCGCAAAATTTTCTTCTCTTCTCGATATTCGTACGTGTAAAAATTTTAAAAATTTGAAATTTTAGAGATAAAATATAATTTTTATAATTTATAATTTTTGATTTAAATTGGATAATTTTAAATTGTTTTTTGGCTAAATCGTTATTTTAGATCTGTGAAATTTTTCAAATCGAATTGTTTTAGCGTAAAAATTTACGTTTATCGATAATTTATTGCATGTATTTTAGTGTATTTCACGCAATAAATACGCATATAAAATTATCGTACGATTTTGCACATTAAAATTTACTAATAAACTAATAAATCTTTAAAAAACATTTACAGTAGTTTTCGCTGAATTGA